GACGGCGGGGCCGGTGGTCCTGGGGACAGCTCCCACGGGGGCCGGGCGGGGCTGTGGGGAGCTCCCGCTCCCTTTAGTCCCTGACCGTGCCCTCTTGCCTTCGCACCGGCCTGCGGAGCACACAGAGGAGGCGTCCGTCGTGAGGCGCAGCGAGGCAAGAGCGAGCGGGGGAAGCCCAGGACGCCGAAGAGGAGCGGAGCGGGGGAAGCAGGAGAGGCTGAAGAGGAGGAAAGAGGCACTCTGGGCACAGGGACCTCCCTATCACTGGGGCTGGGGTCACACAAGGGCGTCACTGGCACCTTTGGGGTGCCCTCCCTGTAACCAGGGTTGGGGTCTTTGCTTTTGCCATGTTGCTCCATGAGTGGGTAGCCTTTCCGGGGAGAGGGGCAACCTTGTAAGCAGGGCGAGAGCCACCGTCTCCACGGCCTGGGGTGGGGGGAAGTGGAGCTCCTGAATATGGGGCGTTATGCTGCAGCCAGGATGGCCAGCCTGTAACCCGGGCTCTGTGGGGTTTGTTGGGAGTGCTGAGCTGAGGGGGAGACCGCCCTGTAAGAAGGGCTGTGGGTGGCCCCTGCGCTGGGCAGGAAGTGTTGGGAGGGACCCCCAGAGACATCAAATGGGTGTCTCTGGCCCTGGCCTTTCAGAGGCGTGGGGCTGAGATATGTGGTTGGGCATGCCCTGCCCTCGGTCTCTTTCTCTCTGCTCTCAGCACCTGGGGCAGTTTAGGAGGGAGGACACTACTGGGGAAGGTGGGAGGCTGGGATGAAACTGTCTGGGAGCTTCCTCTGAGGTTGATGTCCCTCACTCCCCCGGGCGGTGGACCTGGTTTTTGAGTGAGCCCTCACTTCCTTGGCAGCCGCTCCTGGACAAGAAGAACATTGTGTGGAACGGTGCCAGTGAGCACCACGGGTGAGCTAGACGAGGGGCGGCGGGCTGAACACAAGAGCAGTGCCAACACCTTTAAGTGGTGGTGCACTGGGTGATCTCCCTGTAAACATGGCTGGAGTCTTTGGCCTTTTGCCACGATGCCCCACAGTTTGGCTGCCCAGAGAGCGTGGCAACCCTGTAAGGAGGGTGAGAGCCACCGTCCCCACACCCGAGGGGGAAATGGAGCTCTCTGGACCCCCAGGCCACCCTGTAAGCAGGGGCGGGCCATTTCCCTGCCCCACTCCTCTGCCCCAGCAGCCTTCTGCCTGCTGGTGGCCTACCCAGCGTGACCCCCTGTTGTCAGGGTGTGTCACTGCGTTTTCCCCTTGGCGTGTTGAAGCTCTCTGGCTTCCACGCATCCTGGGGCATAGTCTGAGCTCCCCTCTCCTGTTTGCGAGTAGGGTGACTCCCCAGACATTGGCTGCATGGAGCCCATGCTCTCTTTGTGGAACTTCTGTTTTTCCCTGTTTGTGTCTGTGGTTGAGTGTGTGTCTTTGTCTCTGTGTGTGTGTGTGCAGGAGAATGAGCTTGTTTAGGCCCTTGTTAAAATAACTGCAGCGTACTTAGCCTGAACTTCCCAGGAGAGCCGGGCTCTGTGCAGTAACAGGGGGGTCCCCTCTGAGTCCGCGAGCAGAGGGACGGTTTGAGCTCGCCCCTTCTTTCCACGGACGGCGCCAAGCCACTTAGTCGTGGTGCAGGCAATGCGACCTGCCTGTAGTCAGGACGTGGGTCTCTGCCTGCGTGGCTGCCTGTCCTGCTGGTGATGTGCCAGCGTGACCCCCTGTTGTCAGGGCGTGTCGCAGCATTTGCCCCTTGGCGTGTTGAAGCTCTCCGGCTTCCACGCACAGCCACAATAATCTGTGGAGCCCTATGTCCCCTAGAGCAGCCCCAGCTCGCTTTAAGCAGGGCTTGGGAGGCTGCCTTAGCCCATATGAACGAGCCCTCCCTCACCCTTTAGAGGGCACAGGCCCACCTTTGGCTCGGGTGACCTCCCCCTGGTTGGGGTCGAGGTTTTGTACTGGGCTCCCAGAAGTACAAGATGATGATGATGATGATGATGATGTGCTGCAGCCAGGACTGCCCGCCCGTAGCTCGGGCGCAGGTCGGAGCCTCAGGCTCCGTGGGGCTTGTTGGGAGCGCTGAGGTGAGGGGAGCCACCCTGTAAGGAGGGCTGTGAGTATCCCCTGCTCCCAGTGGGAGTGCTGGGAGGGCCCCCCTGTAAGCAGGCGGGTGTCCCTGGCCCCAGCCTTGCAGGGGCAACAATTCGGAAGATGTGTCTTATGGCAGAACTGAAATGGCTTCTAAAACTCCAGGGAACGGCACTGAGCCAAGTACCTCCCCCAGACCCATAAAGACCCTCCCAAAAGCACTAAGGATGCTGTAGTATGACTGCAGCCCCGGTGACAGGGACGTCCCTTTGCCCGGAGTGCCTTTCTCTGGGCCCTTCTTCATCCCGCTGCTTCTCCTCTGGCTTGCTCTTTCCTTGGAGTTCCACACGTGAGGGATGCCTCCGTTTAACCTTCTCCTCCGGGGGCTGCTGCCAAGGAACCGGGGAGCCTTCGCCAACTCCTCCGCCCGGTGGACCGGGGGGCGACCGCCCCGGAGGAACATCCCTGCTTTTATTTGTCCAGCGTCCTGGGACTGAGAGCAGAGACCGAGCGGGCCAGGGCACGGCGAGGCGGGTGGGATGGGCGCAGGTTGAGGGTGGCCAGCGGCGCTTGCCCGCCTCGGCCACCACCCCGTTTGCAACCAGCTGCTCGGCGTTAAAGCGACAGCTTCTCCCCAGGGGGAGGGACCCACCTCAGGGGGTTCTGCCCAAGCCCCCAAACCCTCCCGGGAAATGCCCTTGCCAGAGCTTACAGCGATTCCGCTGCCCCTAGGGCAGGAACTGCCCCGCACTCTCCAGAGCGCGCAGCTGGCAGCCTGTGTGGGGTGACCGCCCCGCTAGCGGGGTGCGGGTCAGGGTGTACCTGAACGGGAGAGAGGGAGCCCCAGGGGACCTCGGGGACCAGGGCCGCCCCCTCCAGCCGCTGTATTGCACGCCCGGCAGCGCGTGCCCAGGGTGCCGCCTCCGAGCGCGCCCCCAGCGCCGGCGGAGTCCCGGAACCCAGCTCCGGTGAGAAAAGGCGAGTGCCGAGGTGTTGGGGGGGCGGCTGGGGAGTGTGGTGGGGAGTGTGTGCTACGGGGCCGGGCCGGCGGAGCAGCGGGGACCGCTCGGCCCTGACCGCGTCCTCCGGCCCCTGCAGAGGCTGCCGGCGGAGGAGAACGAGGAGGAGTCCGACGGGTGTGGAAGGAGCCGCGAGGAGAGACCGAGAAGAGGAGCGGAGTGGAGGGGCAACGCGGGGAGGAGGGGCGAGGGGAGAGCGCTCCTGAGCAGGGACCTCCCTGGCCAAGGGGCTGCTGACCCCTGGAGCATCCTGGTCCTTTGGGGATGATACCCGTGCCTCTGGAGCAGGTCCCTGTCCCTCCCCTGTGTCCTACAACAGCTTCTGTCGCTGTCCTTTTCCAGCTATTCAGTGCCCCGGGTATCCAATAAAGCACTTTCTCCACCCGTCTCTTGTCTATTTGGTTACTTTCCTGCCCAAGTCTGCTTTAAGGGGTGCAGCACAATTCCAGCGCGCACGCAATTGTAACCCTCAGCAGCCACTGGTATTTTTTCTGTGTATTGGTCCCAGCTGGTTGCAAGGGGAAGCTCTGGGGTATCCAGTGGTGGTTTCCCGAGACAAGTGGGGTGGTGTTGCTGTCGGAGTGGTTTATGCTGATTCACAGAGCAAGGGGTGGAAATGTGCAAGCTGATACAGGCAGAGTTGGGGGTACAAGGGGTGTGCAATCGGAGTGAATGGTGCACAGAGCAAATTGGGGCAGGGTTTCTGAGTGCGGGCAAGGCCTCAGCCCTTGCTGACCACCTCAACCTGCATCATTGTGCATTTTGAGGCTGGGGAGGGCCATCGATGATGGCAGCGTTGCCATTTGCTTCAGCAAAGCTTGTGCCACACCGTGCTTGCCCTCGGCTCCAAAGGTGGGTGGCGCTTTGCAGGTGAGTACCAGCAAGTGGGAGTGGAGGTGACAGGAGGGTGGTGCCTGGGCCAGGGGCAGCTTCACACTTGGTGGGCAATTCTTAGTGAGCACCTGTGCACAAGGTGAGCCCTGGAAACTCGTGGTGTGGATGCTCGGTCCCCATGGGAGGATGGCAAGGTCTGGATTGCCCTGTGCAGCCCAGTTTCAGACTTAGGAATAAACACCTTTTTGCATTCTTAACTCTCTTCCACTACGTGGATTTTACTAACAGGCAGTTAGAGGAAACTTGCTTCCACTGAAAGCAAGAAAATAGTGAGTAAAGCAAAAGGATAAAAGAACTCAGCTCCTTAAGCTGTAAAGATGAGCAGCTGGATTTTCATCCACATGTCCAGTTAGTCCACATAGGGTTTATAATTTTTCCTAATGGTCCACTCTCCTTCATGGCATGGCTCTAGTCCACAGTGCTTTATTTTATATGGCTGTCCTGCACCCTGTCTGTTTTCCCACTTCTATGAACAGACTGCTGGTGATGACACATACTGCATTTTAAGCTCTGTTCTCCCTTATAGCTGGACCACTACTACAATTATTTCTCTGCACTTGATGGACTTACTTATAGAATCATAGAATCAACTAGGTTGGAAAAGACCTTTAAGATCGTAATGATCTTAAACCATGTGATCCAACCATTGCCCCATGACTCCCAAGACCACCAGTAAAGCATATCACTGAGGGCCTCACCTACACTGTTTCTGAGCACTTCCAGGGATGATTCCAGAAGGAAAGGAAGGAGAGACATGCTTAAAGCTGAGACAGGCTATCTTGTTCCCTGGGTCAGCAGCAAAATCAATTCTGATCATTGTAGCAGCAGTGTGGGATCTGCAGGACTAGTCAGCTGCTCATGGTTCACAAGCCATGGGTTTCTCCAAACTCTGCGTAATGTATGTGTTTGGTTTTCTGTCTATGATGCAGCCAAAGGCTTATGAAAGCACTGCCCAAGACAGCAAAGCCAGTAAGGGATCCCAGCAGAATGGGTACCAGCATTGGAGAATCAGGTCCTGGAAATAAAGAAAGAAGTAATCAAGCAGTGAACAGTGTTAAGAGAGGGAGGAAGAAGAAAGAGAAGGTGCAACTCTGATTCATCCTTCTAGCATGCCAAGCAGGTATGGCTAAGTTCCTTTCCACAAAGTAGTCTGGATGGGTAGTGCCTTTTCATTCTACCTTCTTTGCCATAAGATCCCAGCAGTAAATATTCTTTGCATAAACAAGTAAAACCACAGTAAGTTAGGTGGCTCTCGGGGATGGTGCCAGTGGATTTAAGAAGTCTCTCAAGCTGATGATGTACCAGGTTCAGCATCACTACTTTCTAATAGCTGGACAACATCTAATTAACATTAACCAGCTGCTATATTTCATCTATGAACAGAAAGGAAAAGGAAAGCGGTCCTGGTTCATGGCCCACCTCATTCTATGCCTCATGATTGTAAGTCAGAGTTTTGTCCAGATACCTGTGGATGTTTTTTTCTTGCTCTAAATATGGGGACTCCTCCCTGAGCTCAGTACAGAAAACGACTGCGTTGCTCTTCCATTTTAAAAGCCACAAAACTTACAGAAAAAATGTTTAAAAGGAGGTCTCTGTACCTTGACTCTTCCCATCTCACCTCACCTAAAACCCAGTCTCTTGATAGAAAAAGTTAGCATCTCTCTATTGTTTTAATGACATTCCTCATTCTCAGTCTACATGTCCCACCAAAGTACTATAACATGCAGGAAAATTCTTTTCAGCTAGAAGACATTCTGCCTTATTTTTCTTCTCTCTACTCCTTCTAAAGCTTCATTTCCTCCAGGGGATGCATTTAACTATGTCTCCTGCCTGAAAGTCTGTTGGATCTGATACTGATTAACCATCACGTTTGGGATTTAGGAAGGCCAAACAGAAGGTGACGAGATGTTGGGATGTAATCTAGTCATACGAGATGGCTGTCAGTAAAGTTGCTCAAAGTGTGCTGGTTTTCTTACAGTAGGAAAAGTCAAACAGAAACTTCTGCAGAAAGAGATGGACAGAGACAAGGAAAAATCAGGAGACCCACCTTCCACAGGTTTATATAGAAACCTGTCCTTCATTTGCAAAACTGGGCCCAATGAGATCAGGTTGTGCAGGTTTCCATAGCTGTTCCTGTCACTTGACTGGAGAAGTGGCTCCACACTTTCAAAGCAGTCCTGGGAAAGACATACAAACAACATCCCAAAGTGTACTTACTGCCAGTGCCTGAGCAGAGCCTGCGCACCAGAGACTGCACACTCCATAGCAACCCCAGTGCTGACAGGAGCAGGCCTCCTCAGGCTGTCTTTGCCCAGCTTTGCTATCATTCCAAAAAGTGAGCTGCTTAATGCTTGGACCAGCCCGTATGTAAACGTCTATTCACCTTCCATATCCCAAACACAGGACAATTGAGCCCTTTCGTGTAATTCTACAACTCAAAATCACATAGATCTGCTGAGCCTTTTCCTTGTGAGTCTCCTATAAGGTTGCTAGTTGCTTATTTGTTTATATGCTTCTTATGCTGGTTATGTGTAAACCAAAAATAAGCCACTGTGAGCTCAGTCAGCTTAACTGAGAGTAGAAATTCAGCTGGGGCTTTAGGAGACAGGGAGTATGCAGGAGATGACTGAGAAAGAACTGTATGAAGTGGAAGAAGGTGGAGCTCTATAAACTACCATCAAGATTCTTTACTGAATGGACTGTACCTCTGGAAGCACCGAATCTTTCCAAAAGTTCTTTAGCCCCATGAGAACGGGCCTGTCCTACGTACCTGTTCACATCCTGTGCCATGCAGGCACACATTAAGCTCACAGTGCAAATAGGCCACTGAGTGATTCAGCATCTGGAACAGCTGGATCGTGAAGCTAGCAGCTCTGGATTTACTGCTGTGTAGCAACTGGATGTGTCTGCATTCAAATGGCAACCTGGCAAGGACAAATGGCAAACAGTTGCAAATTCAAGCTGTCCCCAGCTAAAAGGAGGGAAGCTGCCCCTGTCCCTGCTGTGGAGGCCATAGTCCTAGAGCAGCAGAATTGTTTCTTGGAGGCTGACATTGCTGCAGTCATTAAAATGGCTGCTGTAGAGTGGTAATCATTACCCAACCTAGACAAATTCAGAAGCATTGCAGAGGTGATTTCCTGCTATAGCCAATATGGGCAAATCAGAAAGCTCTTTTTCTGATGACAATAATGCATAGCATTTCTAATGCACATTTCATGCCCCAGTGGCTTTACGAATATTGACTAATGAATCCTCTGATCTCCCTTTGCTCAACCCAGACAACTTAGGCATGAATAGCTGTGAAATGCTGATGGAGAAATGGAGGCCTGTGGGGAACCCTGCCTCCTACCTTTGGGCTGTTCCGCTGTTCCCTAGCAGGAGGTGTAAGGAGGGTGCTGATATTTGTGACAGCATGGCATGGAGAAGGAGAACGGCTTATTTACATACATCAAAAAGTAATGATAGAACTTTTCCCTGAGGGTTCTTTGTCCTGTCAAGCCCTTGGTATTAATTACGAGACAGTTAAGGGAGCAGAGTAGTCTCAGATTCATTCTTACTGCATTCAGCTTACTCTGAACTCTAAGGAGATCAGACTGCAGCCATAGGATACATCAGAGAGTGTCCTTTAAGAATCAGCCCATCCCCAGCCCAGGCCCAAGGACAGGAGCAAATCTATGCCCAGCCCTGCAGCTCCATGTCTGACCTGTGGAACAAGCAGCACATAGCGCCCGGTCCCCTTGGGCTGGTGGAAGGTGTCACACAGCATGACCGGATCTGGAGCATGGGCTGGCTGCTGTTACTCTGCACAGTGATCAAAGCCAGGAAAGTCTCTTGGGAAGGCACCGATGCATCAACTTCAGGGCCTGCTTCTGCAACAGGGTGCAAGCTCATCTGCACGGTGTAGTTACCGGAGCCGCAGACATCATCACTCACAACTGCAAGGCTTTAGGGAAACAGGGAAAAAAAGCTGAGGCCCAGCTAGGCTCCACAGCCTGTTAGGAATAAACCAGCGTTAGGGTGAGTTTCCTCAGTGAAACCAAACAGTGAGTTGAAGCAAATGAGCCACATGTAGACCCTGGCATGACAGGCTCCCATGGTCAGAACCACCTCCTGCTTCTGCACAGCCAAATCATTTTAAATGAGGGGAACCTGGGATTTCACTGTGTGGGAATTTCTACCTTCTTTGCCAGTGCATTTGATCACTTGAGCAACGTCAAATGTTCCCACCTGCAAAACTGCATGTAGATTGTTTTGGGGAGGAAAGACAGAGAGTTGAAGGCTACTGCGAGAAAGAAAACTAGGTCTGAAGGACAGTATTAATATCCACAATGTGAAAAGACTTTTGTTGTTCTGATGCAGTCATTGCTGAACAAAGCGTTTCTAAAACCACAGTACAGAGTACCCCTGTTAATGAGCCCCTGGAGCAATTTGAGTACTCCCCCTCTCCTTGAATCACAGCATAAATACACAAGAACAACTCCACTAAGATAATTACCCGTTCAAAATGGTGGCATCTGGCTGCAGAACACTCCTCTGGTGTGATTCACTCAGCAGTGCACTGGGCTCTGGGTGCAGCAGTGTTAGAACAGTTACTAAGCCTTCAGCTGCTTCTTCTGTTACTTCATCTGTTCTGACCATCTCCTCTGCATCTGTGTTCAAGAATAACCTCTCAGATTGTTCAGTGTTTGCAACACCCAGCAAGGGATTCCCCTGTGGAGTAAGTGCTACCAAACTCTGCGAAGAATACAAGGGGCTCTCTGGGGTTGGAAGGAACTGAATTAGATCCCTGGCTAGAAGCATCTCAGCAGCATCATCAGTTACTTGACTGAAGACAGCTGACTGGTTAATAACCTTGTTTACAAGCTTACTAGCAGAGACAGAAAATACTTTTGTTGTAGATGGCCCAGGGCTGGAGTGACCAATCTCATGATCAATGTTATCTTCCAGTGATATCTTCTCCAAAGGGTGTTGTGGTGATGCCTGATGTGATGAGGACAGGGGTGCCTGAGTGGGCAGCTGGCTAGTGGTGGCTGCATGTCCTTTCACTGACATATCCTCACTCTTCCCCATTGATGTAGAGACCACAGCTGATTTGTTCACACTGGCAATTGCAGGCAGCACCATGATTGGATCAGATTGGATAGTTGATGTTGGCAGGTGAATCGCTGTTTTGTTCGCAAGTGAAGAGGTGCTATAATCACCCTTAGATACAGAGAGAGAAGTCATTGCTAATGGAGGCTGGGATGTGGTCTGTGTCTGTTCAAGCTGTCTTTTAAAAGCAGTAGTAGATCCTGCAGATACAGACGGTTGCACCGGAGTTAAAACTACCTTATTCCCAAGAACTGCTGTGGGGAGTTGCTGTGCCCTCGTATTAAACACGGCTGACAGAGACACACTTGTTCCCAAGAATTTACCAGTTCCTATTTTTCTTGCATGTGTGGTGATTTCTGTTGGCTTTGTATTTTCTCCTGTGTTGGCCAATTTAGTAGGGGCTTGATGGATCTGGTCAAGTTTCACGGCTGATAGCAGGGGAACATGTGCAGACACAGGTGAAGGGGGGCTTGCAGGAGTGTTGGCATACATCCTTGGATGGGTAATTGTAGCCAGAACTTTCCCGGAAAGTGTTGGTTTTGTTTGTAGCTTTGTTGAAAACGGAGTATGCTCTGGTGCCATTGGTGGCTTCTCTGTCATTAGAAAGGGCTTAGGTGCAATGGGAGTAAATTCCAAACGTTTAGTAAGGTCAGGTTTTACAGAAGTGGTGTGGGTTTGTGCTGCTTCAGTATGCACAGTGACTCCTGAAGTGCTCCCCACTGCTGAACCTCTGTGACCATTCCCAGCTGGAAGTGTTGAGAGAGCTGAGGATGTGCTGGGTGGAAACTGAGCTTGGGATGGAAGCCCTTGGAGTGACTCAGCACTTAGGAGGCTTTGCAACACGGACTGCAAAGGCATGATGATGCCTGTAGGCATCTTCAATGGGTGTTTTGTGGTTCGAGCTGAGGGCAAGGTCAAACACTCTAAGCACTGTGGATGGACAGAGGAAGGTGTGGTCACTAAGCCTTGGTGATGGCCAGCAGTTTGCAGCAGTAGTTTCTTACTGGGCTGAACCTGATCTACAGTCCCTGTAACAGTAAAGGGAGGTTGGGCAAGTATTTGAGAATCAGGGTGTCCCTTTGTTGACAGTAAAGCAACTGCAGAGGAAGAATGTGGCTTTTCAGCAGTGAAAAATACTTCAGGGGAAATATGGGGGCTATGCTGTGCAGACACAACTGCTGGTGGTGCAGTGGAGGTGAAAGGCTCTGCTAACTTACCCTTACGTAAAAGCAAATCAGTTCCCTTGGTCTCCTGGGCACTGGGAGCGGGTACCTGCACTTCTTCAGGGAACCGGTGCGGATGCGTGGCCTGCACTGTAGTGCTACTCCTCATCTGTGGGTCAAGCAGATGATTTGATGCTGAGGTAACAGCTTGAAACAAACTAGTGGTGGCTGTAGAATTAGGATAAGTTAGTGCTGGCTGAGAAGTTACTTTCGTTTTCTCTCTTTGTTGGCTAGATGGAGTGAAGAGATGAGTTTCAGGCCTCAAAAGCTTACTAGTGGGGTAAGAAGAACTAGTTTTAATTGAGATTTCATGGCTGCTGTCAGGGGTACCCAAATTCACATCGTGCTTGTTTGTGAACAAGAGGGCAGGTTTGTGGCCATCTTCACCCTCAGGAGAGGGCACCAGTTGAAAATCTGATCTGTCATCAGTGGGCAAAAGGATAAATACAGGCTTAACCAGAATTAAGCTAGAAGGACTCAGATATTGTAAGTTTGTAAGGTTCAGCACTGAAGAATTTGATGCTGCCAGGATTTGCTGAATGGAAAGCAGACCCCCAACACTAGTATTTGGGAGTTGTGTAGGTAGGAGGGAATCTTGCATGGGCTGAAGGCATATCATGCCATTGCTACTTTTAAGCACAAAAGACAAGTATGGGGATGATGGTAGCATTCTAAGTTGATCACCTCTAAAAGCACTGTGGTTTTTGGTAGCTGCGTCATGTGACATGCTGAGCCGCTGCACTGCTGCTGCTTGTGCCAGATATGCTGGGATCTCACCAGAAACACTCGGCACCACCGGTTCAGGATCTGCTGTTGTTGATTTGGACTGGCCTCCCTGAGCATAGAGCAAGGGCAGTTCTGAAGCTAAAGGTGCCACGCTGCCAGCTTGCTGGATCTGGGGAGCTGGAGGTGCAAAGCTGTGAAGAACAGCTTCCTGGTTCCTGTTGTCACGCGGTCCAGAGGGGCTGGGGACCGGGATGGCTTGTGTCCCTGGGGGAGAACCAGTTTTACCTAGCTGCAGTGAGAGACTTTTCTTTCTCTTGGAGTCTTCCACTGTGCTCATCTGCAGCATCACAGGGAAGGCTTCCTGAGACAGAGGATGGGCAGAAATGCCTTGAAGCTGAGGCCCAGAACCAGTAGACGGGGATGCAGTTGTTCTGTGGAGTTCTTTCTCAGCAGAGCCGGGCATGCCCATTAGCTGCAATCCAACATAAGTAGGAAAAGATGTACGAGGCGTCTGAAGCCCTGCATGAACAGCATTAGAAGCGCTTACAGGTTGAAGGGCTGCATTCGCAAAGGTAGGTGTACCTGAAAAGGGTGCAGGTGTTATTACTTTTGGCTCTTTAGTAGTTTGGGAAAGCTTTAATGTGGAAATCCATGACTGGCTTAATGAGAATGAATTCGCAGAAGCCTGTGGGCTCTCAGGGGATCTGGACTGTTCAGGTTTACTTGTCACTGCCTGATGATCAGTTTCTCTTTGCAAGACTGGAACTGCAATTTCTTGAGAGCTCCCGTTGGGTTTTGGGGAAATATGTTTAGTGCAGTTGAGTGTCCGGGACAAAGAGTGGGGCTGTTGTCTATCAGTTGTGCTAATGGGCCCTTGAAATGGAGATGGAAGTAAGTTGTCATGAGCTAGAGCTCCCAGGTGCATCAGTAATGAAGAAGAAGGTATGGTGCCTTGTGTCTGAAGAGCAGGCAACTGGGTTGGGTGTCCAGAAGCATTTATTACAGCCGTTGTTGAGTTTCTGGCTTTACTACCTGCTGTTTCTTGCTTCAGAGATAAAGCAGGGGGAAGCTGACTAGCACCTGTCTGTGTCATTCTGGAAGAGACAGCATCAAAGTCCCCTGAAGCTGGCTTTTGTGGGGATGCAGAAGTTGTAGCTTCAGCATTCATACTCTGAGTCTTCTTCAGGTACGCCGGTGTCACACCAGCTTTGCTGTCAGGTTGGACTTGTGGATTTGTGTCTCTTGGCCTTTTGCTAGTGGGAGGTGTTCCTGTTGGTAACCAATGCACCCTTGCACTTCCAAGAGCAATCTTAACTCCAGTGGGAAATGGGGATGTTGTCATTTCTTTTCCTGGAGGATAAAAATTTACTGTTGAAGTCAGAAGAGACGTTTTAGGACTTTGCACCTCCATCTGCTTCGTAACACGAATGGAAGAGGCAGCTGTAAACTTGGGAGAGTCTTGATGCATCTGCCCACTGAGAAAGGGCTGGGAGAGCCCAGTGCTAGAGCTGGTAGGATTGCAAGCAGCCTCAGTAGTATTTTCTGGTTTTCCTTGCAGTGACCTGTCTGGCTGTTCCAGATGTGGGGTAGCCTGTGGCCCTGATGTGGAGACAGGGATGCTTACGCTACTCAAGAGCTTGCCAGCAAATGCGTGTCCATCCTGGAGTTCTGAAGCTGCTGCTTCTGTGTGCAGCTGCTCAGGCTCCCCCAGGTTTCTAACCAGCTCCTTGGACAGCACCTCTGCTCTTTTTGCAGCTGGCTCTGCATGGACAGGAATGAAGTCCGCTGTCACTTCATTGGTGGGCTCAACTGCTGGGCTCTGAAAATTGAAGGTCACCTCATCTAAGTTATCTTCTGTAGTGGGAAACACTCTGCTGGGTATTGGGATGCTCTCAGCTCTTTTTTGGGCTTCTCCAGGAAAGCTCAGACCAAATACTTCACTGACATGATGCTCATTCCCAGAGGCACCTAGCAAACAGAAAATAAGCCTTTGTCCTATTCAGTTGTACATGAACTTTTAACAGCTTGTAGCAGCACTTTGCAGCAGGCTGAGCGGAAGGGAAGCAGAAAGTTAAGTGGCCACTGACTCTGTCCAGAGCCATACAGGGGGGAGGACAGGCAGCTCTGGTACTGCCATTCTTATAGCCAGCTGTTACAAGTCTGATCCTCTGCTGTTTATATTCAGTGTCATATGAAGGATGACATTTCATACTTCTGCCATCCTTATAAAGCATTAACCAGCCAGAGAAGAACCCTTTATCTTAATTGTACAAAGATATCAATGACAACTGAAAATGCAACAAGAATGAAACCCCTCAGGTTGCCTGAGGACAGGCAAAGCAAGATTAATATATACATGAATGAGCTTACTCATGTGGCTCTCCTTAAACACTCTTCCTCCCCCAGTATCCCAGTCCTGATGATGAGTTTCCTGATGCATACTGGGTGACCATAAGGAAAAAGCCTGTTTGTTTTGTGGAAGTGGCATAGAGCAGAGAGAACATAGCAACTTCTCTGCTTTTAACTTCTCAAATCAAAAGCAGAGACCTTGTAATTTAAAGAGGCAGACCTGTGGTTTAAAAGGGTATTGTTCTATCCATACGTATTACTTATTTTGCTCTCTTCACATTCAGGAAGTTGCCATTCCCAAGAATGTTTTCCAAACCAAAGACCAAAATGTGAATCTACTTTCCTCTCTAAAAAGATTAAGCATTTTCCTTTAGGCATCTGCCAGAAAATACATGTATCTAGAAGCTAAAAGGCGATTTCATGTTTAAGGTGTTCCCAAAGAAAAGGCAGAATGACATGTTACTGCATGGTGAAGAGCGGCACCCACACTTAATGGGATAAACAGCAGTGCCTGGTAAAGTATATTCTGAGCAAGGCTTCGGCAGCCACAAGTTTGATCTTACTCTATGAAAACTGACCTTCTTTTTCCTTTGCTTTCCCCCACCTGAAAGAGACAATATATACGCTGGGGAATGGACTGTAACTCAGCTCAGCTAAATAGCACAGCTCTGTCCTGATCTGGGACTGCTAAAACCCCCACAGCACAAACCATTTAAAGTAAATCTTGAGCCTTTATAGCACAGCTGCACAGAGGGAAGCTGTTCCTTCATCTTGTAGTTGCTACACACCTGAGACTGATGGCACAATATTTACCATAGTTTTTCTACCCACTGATAACAGAGGAAAAAAAGGCAGAAAGAAAGCAACTGAGATTAGAACAAAACACATCACTCACCAGCTAAATCCAATAATCCAGCTGCAATCAGAATAAAAGTGTGGAATTTTTCCTGCATCTTGTGAGGCAGCTCTTGAGCCATCCCAATTACACTACGGTCAGATAGGAAGCAGCTTGCTAAGGAGCCACTGCTGCCTCTTAGCTGTGGGCATTTGCTGTGTTTGTTTTGGGAGGGCAGTGTTGGGTTACTTTATAAGAGCTTAGGGCAGGCAGCAACCAATAATCTGCTAAAAGAAAAAGAAAAAGAAGCCTGCACCAATTGGAGTCAATTTTTCACTAAACAAGACAGTGCATTCATCACGTGCATGGCAAAGATAGTAAACGTGATTGAAAATACGAGAGGTTGCCTATGTCAGCCAACTCTTTATCTCTGCAGAAAGGGTTAAATTGCTACTTTTGAATACTGTGTGCAGTTCTCCTAGGGACGATAGCAACTGGTATGTGAAAGGTTCCATTAAGCAAAACCCAGCTTGTCAGTCAAACCGAAGAATTACCTTTAGCTTTTAGGCTTTTAAGGATGATTTCAACTCTCCTGTGATTTTCCAGTGACACACTGCACCTGCTGCTCCCCTCTGACATCCCCCTCTGCAAATGCAAGATTCCGTAACTTTCTTTTCCTTAAGACAATGCCTATTTGGACTTGAATCCTACACACAGCAGTTGTTACCTATTTGCCTGGACAGGCTGTAACTTAACAGTAGAAGCTTGAAAAATGAAAGTGAGATTATCAATTGGGGAATAAAACCAGGTGCAAGAGAATTTCCTTCTCAAGTGGGAAGATGATTCAGCTGCTGTTTTGAAAAGGAGATGATATGGAACTTGTCAGACACTGTTCTGAAGGGCAAGTTTGTATACAGGGTAGACACCCACAGGAGTCAAGGAGGCAAACTGAAACCCCATTTTAAAGTCAGACATCACTGGCCTGTTCCCTGATATATAAAGGTAATCCATTCTTTGTTCCCTGTGTTCAAAACCAAGGCCAAAATCCCTGTCTAACCTAAGTTCTCCAAGATTTTAGTATAGCTTTGTGTCTATGTGCCTCTATTGATTTCTGAAGAGACTATTCATTGTATTTGACAGACTTCCTCCAGCAGTACTTTAGCTATAGAGGAGATCAGAGATGAACACAAGGAGCCATGAGAAAGTACTTAAGATCAGAAAACTCCACACAAAAGGACAGGACAAAGGGATACCATTAAATTAACAAAGATAGCAAGTGTAACACTACTAAACTAAACAGCCCATAATTCATACACAAACCTCATTGTCATAAGTTATCGCTAAGATTGAGCACTTAGCAAAATTAAGACCAACTTATTAAAGCAGTTAAATGTGAGGTTTAAGGTCTAAGCCAAGTGTGAGGTGATACTGCACATCTGATACTAAATCATAATCTAATCACCATAACAGCATATGGGGGAAAGAAAGGATTCTTCAAAGTCACAGCTCACAATTTATGTCTCTTTTCCTCTAATACACTGGGTACTGGACCAAAACAGTAAAGGGGATTAGACAAGGGCTTGGTCAGTGATTAACCAGCAAGGAACTCACCTGTAAGAACAGGCAACATTATTTAGTAAATCAAAGGTAAGCTTATTGCAAGCTGTTATTTTAGTTGCTGGCCTAGATAATAAAGTAACTTCTTTCTCCTGACACATTGATACTCTTTACTGGCTTCTGTGGAGGATCACTTTAAAAAGGGACTGAAAAGTTGATGCACTTTGAGTTAGCTTTATTAAAGAGAAAACTACAATACTCAACAGCAAGTGATATTAACAGCATATTTTGAAGCTCTCTTGAGAACTTCAGATGCTATGCACGTATTTCATAGAGGAGTTCAGGATGGCCAAACCATTGAGTTTCCGCAGCTGAAAAATATGCCTGAAAAGACAATAGAAAGGTTGCTGGGGTAATATAAGATGACCAACAATAAAAGTTTTCAGCTTCCAGTCCTCTGCTATATCACCCATGCCCAAATTGTCAAGGATGTTCAATGCTACCTTTGATAAATCACTCCTAAAGTAGCATTAGAAAGTTTCTAGATCACAGTTCCCTACAAAAAGGAAAATGAAAGTCCTAAATAATTCTTGACAATTGTGCAAATTTATGGCATTGCAAATACCAACACCCCCCCCCCCCCAACAACAACCTAAGAAAATAAGGTGTTCCCCTTTCATACCTCAGAGCAGATAATTTCTCTATTGCTCATTTGTGATTTCCAGCAGAAGCACGATTTGAAACTTTTGGAAACTAAGCATTACGCCTTGCTTTTTGCAGTGGTTCAGGATGCATATTAACATGCTGAGCTCAGTTCCTGGGTCTGGAATGAAGCTCAAGATCCAGCTGACAGTTTGCAGCTAGCTAGAGGTTGGCATACACTTGGCTGGCAGCAGCAGACATTCTTTGCTGACATTTACACTTCTGTTTTGCTCTTGTTATTGCTCTGACCTCTACAAAGGTACAACATTACTCCTCCTCTTTCCATTCTTCCAGCACAGGTAACACCAGAAAGCAATTCTCCTTGAAACGTGTTAAGGAGGAACAGGAACAGAACTGTGGGGATAGCCACAAGTGGCAACTCTAGAGTGTAGGATAATAGAATTCATGGAGTATTTATGTAAACTAATGATCTGTCCTGTACCTGCTTGCTCTACAAATGGAACGGACTTACACAGGTCAAGGATTATCATCTGCTAACAAACAGGTGGTACAGAAGAACAACAGTCTTTTTTACAGTACCTTGGTTCGGCAACACAAAGCTTCCCCAGAGCAATTGCTGCATTCTCCTGTACTGAAGTTCTTCTAGCATCGCCACCAGCATGTTTCAACAAGATCATCACAACACTGGAATTCAGTAAGGATGTCGCTGCTCCAGGAACTACAAGGCACTGGCCAAGGCAGAGTGCAGCATTGCCTACAATCATTTCATTCTCTGAGTCCAAGAGTTTCAGCAGCACACTGAACCCTGGGAGAAAGAGAGATTAATTGCACAGAATGCATACAGATTTGTTTGAGTACCACTGATACTTTCTCCTGTCTTTATCTAAACTCCCAGGGAGCGAGCACTGTTCTGTGTTGGGTGTTTTTCTGGAAAGCCTGGAGGAGCAAGGACTTTCATAAGCAGCTCAGCTTATCTACATCTGCAACCAACATAGAGCAGCAGAACAGTTTGTCTATACTGGCACAGAATTCCATAGCTCTTGCTGGCATCTGTAAGCAGCAGCAACATCTCAGGCCACAGAACACAGCAACGTTTAGGTAGACTACTTTCTAAGTAAATTACAGCCATGGCTTTCACATGCATGAAGTCTCCTTGGGAGTTACATAAGTTTGCTTTGGTTTTCTTTCATGGTCCCATCTGTTCTTACAGATCACATCCCACCCTTTTCTGCAACATCGTCTGCTGAAAAGGCACTGCTGCTGCAGACAGCAACAGTGGCTGGTGAATAAGCTGAACTAAGCGGCCCATCTGGAATGCAATCTTATGTCATGGGACTATAGCTCAATTCGATCAGGCTCCTAGCAACAGAGCAAAGTCTGGGTTGGGAAACAGAGATGAAAAAAAAGAAGAAATTGTGACTTCTCACAAGATTAATACCCAGAGTTTTGGCAGAAAGAATTAGAGTGAAATGTTACTGCTAATTTGTGGAAATGAAAGCTTCATTTACAGATGACAGTGAAACTAATATGGGGTGTACAATAGGAAGATGATGCTCTGAGAGGCTTTTAATGAGTGGAAATCCTTAGGGTTCAAGTTGAACTGTATGAGCTGACAGTTTCTTGACAGGTTCAACCATTTAGATAAAACTTAAGTATTCTCTGTTGTAGTCACATTAGCATTAATTGAACCTGCATTGTAAAGCAATCTAAGTAGTGTTATACTGCATGACTAGAGTGAATATACTCAAAAATACCCTAAGACACCTAGCCTGATATCATCACTCTGTCTCCATACCCATTTCCTTTTAATACCAGGTTAAATATCCACGTGTAAATTGAAGGAAACTATAAACAGCCTCAACCTCTGCAAATCAGATGTTTAAGTGAAGTTTTCTACTGTAGCCACTAGCTTTGGGAAATACAACCCAATTCAGTTACATTTTACAAGCACTTTCTTTCAAAATCTGTATACTTCTGGCCCTGACAAAGCATACCAAGCCATTTCACTCAAGTAAAGCACAGTTCCTCTAACTCGGGATCATTATCTGATGTGCCTATTTCCATCCACACACAGAGCTAAGGATCATTAAGCACTGTTTCAGGAGGTCAGATACCATGGCTAAAGTCTTGCCAGATTAAACACCAGTGCTCAGTTCCATTCCAGAAGAGAAGAAAGTAATTGGCCAATACTGAGATTACATCTCTGCATTCAGCTTCTGCTTAGTCACTTACCTTTATCTGACTTCACGAGATCTTCTTGAGCTTGCCTATTACTTCTGGTGCAGATGGAAAGGGTCTTTATACCATAATTGCAGGTAGTCTGTCCTCCAGCCTAGATTTGTTTAAATCATATGTTAACAAGCATACAGTTCATACCCCAGCTTGCTCAAGGTTACAGGATAGCTTAGGTACCATGAAGATAGGTGTTCCTTCTGCCTAAGCCCAAATACCAAATTAAGACCTTTGCAGAGTATGTATCTCAAGATGAACACAAGGTGAAAAGGACACAAGAACCATCTTTTTCCTGCTCCCAAGCTTGGTTCAGTGCTCACAGATAATCAGTGGAAAGGGCTCCACTGCTTTTCAGGGGTCCAAATCAGATCACACCAATTGTAAGCTTCAGTCATCCAGTTGGGCCCTGCAGTAATGGATTCCTGGATTTACAAGTGTCTAGAAGCAGAGCTGTGCACAGGTATCTCACTCATATGGAAACAACTGGAAAACCTGGCCTACAGACCAGACTACAGAAGGCAGTCTAGTCTCCAAAACTGACTACCTAGTTTAAAACTAAACTTGAGAGCACTGTTACAATGGACAACACAGATGCAGATAAATGAAGCCAGAGTGTCTGCACAGGTCTTTCTCATAGGGAAAACAAGCTAAACACAGGGGCAACTGTGCCTTTCTTAAGGGATAATACAAGCTGAAATAAAGTGCATTTTGTTAAATTCATTTACTTTCAAGAATTTGATCATTTTCTTCACCACCCCTCCTTTCACTACTTCTTCTACTGCTGAGGAGGATGCTGGCAGGATGCGACTTAGCACTCCAATGGCTCTCTTAATTAGAAAACAATGTGAGAGAAGTTAAAAAACCACAAAGTTTATTTGTCCAGACAACTTGCAGCAGTTTTCAAATCATCTTGGTTTTGCAGAATAAACCCAAAGTAATTAAAGTCATAAAAGAGAAACTTACAGCAGTATAACAAAGAACATCTTCAGAACATGACTTTTTTATTGTTACTGGAAACTGCACTCAGCACAGTGTAGAGAGAGATGAGACCAAACTGACATCAGGGCAACTCCCTGTTAAGTTTCATAACTTAAAAAAAATCCTAGTAGAAACCAGCCCAGCACTGCTGGTACTGAGTCAAGTAAAGCAGATCAGAACAATTCATGTGAATTCAGAGAGGTGAACGGCCTCTGAGTTCCCATCTGCTCCTACCTATTTGCCTTGAATAACTGCTGTCTGTGGGAGTGACACACCACTAACAGGAGTACAATCTCCTAAGTATGATTCACATATAGGAACTGTGAAATTAAACAGCTGCTGAGCACACAAATTGTTCTTGCTCCTTTGTTTCTAGATTTATTGTTTTTTCTTAAGAGGTTTTATATTGACAACCATCCTAAGGATGAAATTCTTTGTAAGAGCTTCTATCATGTAGATTTGAAGAGAACAATGAGAACCTCTTACATCAAATCATATAAAAACCTGAAAAATATAAGCGATGTATTACTTCTTTACTACTAATAATTACTGGTTTAGGCTTAAAAGCAGGGCAGGAGTTTGCACTGAAGTGTTCAGGTTAGGTTGGCTAATACAGTCTTTTGTTAGTCCATAGATATTCCACTTACTGTGACAATCCTTCCATCCTTATCCCTGAGGAGAGACATGCACCTGCCACTTATGTCCACAGCAAAGTACTGAAACAACAACGTGAAAACATCAGCTCTAGCTGACTGCTGGGAAGTGATAGAGCAGAAATGGGTTAGTAGACAAAGTACTCTACAACAAAGAATCCAGTGGAGATCAGGCCACACACGTCAATAAGTTACTAAGACTTCAGCACCCACATGTACCAGAATGATTTCTTCCTTCTTGATGGAATCCTTAGTTTTAAATAATTTTGGAATGTGCCAAGCATTTACATATATTATATAATTGGAGACTGACGCAGAACAAAACATTTACACTCCTATGGAAAGGTATGCGCTTGACACTGTATTTTTCTCATAACTGGGAGGGGGAAAGGGAAGCAATTTTGTACATCTTTTCACTTATTAGTTTACTTGTCCGCTACCCTTAATGATAACCTTAAACACCAATAAAAATGAAGAATTAACTGAACACCAGCAAAATCCAAGGTAGGCAGCCTAAAGAATATTCATAGATCTTGTATACCTGGATAATCACATTTGATTCAAGCAGTAAGTTCATCATGAGGCCCAGAACTGCAAACAAACACTCCTGGTAATTGGATGTGCTGACATCAAAGTATTCATCCTGTGTACAAAGGAGAGAAGAGCATAATCAATTCAGAGGATCAAAATATGCACTTCCTCAGTCTTCTGTGTGCTTACTTACATGGTGCATCAGGGATGGAATGAGGGAGCACTTACAAAGAAGTTCCGTGAGCACCAGAGCTAATAACAGCTTTCTGATACAGATTCATTCTTGTGTTTGTTTTACTTTGGTATATACAACTGCATACTCCAAACTTGTGATGTTTAAGCAGGTAACAAGGTCCTTTCCCACCTTCTGAATTCTTCAGTTTCAGAGGACTGAGTTCATACTACATCCTTACCCTGAAAGGGGCCACTCACAATAAGGGATCACTCACTCTCTCTCCCCCTCCACCGGTGCCATCTACTGACACAGCTTCTGAGACCTTAATCCAACTACTAGATTTGAAAGATCTCAGTCAAGGGTTCAGAGCTATTAAGGGAGGAAAACAAACATGATCACAGAAGTGCCATTTCCACAAGAGATAGGGCTGATAACACTGTTACAGAAAGCCATCAAGTTTCTTTACCACAAGCTTTAAGCACCCTTGCCAGCACTCTTTGCACTCGGCCATTTGCATTCGAATTACTCCATCTGCACACAGATTCCCCATGATGCCAATGCAACGGGCAAGGGCTGCCTGGTTCACCAGCTTGGCAGAGGTCTGAAAAGAGAAGAGTGGAATACCAAGTTAAGAACAAATGACAAGGAAACAACAAGTACATGCTCCTATCACTCTGACAATGGAAAACGGGATTCCAGAATCTCTCTTACCTATGTTAAGTCCCAACAGTCCAAAGTTTGGAAATCACTCTAATTTCCCAGTTAATCTCCTGATGTAGTTTTTAGAGTCTTGGGGAAAAGTGCCTGGATTCCCTGGTCCCTAACCTCAGGCTGTGAATATTGCCTTCTACCACTTAGCTCACAGAACAGCCTCTGCTGCAGCTGTCATTCCAGTAAGGTGCTTTCAAAAGGCAAGAGCAATAAGCAATGTAAAAATGCTATAATTATTGCATTGTATCGGTGCACATCTGGAGAAGTGGAAGTGTTTTACTTTTCAGCTCTATTTGCTGTTCTGCAACAGAACAAATCTTCCCTATTACCTTTCTGGAGGACAGGTTTCTGTACCAGCAATATTATAAGTTTGCAGTTCAAATAAACAACCAGGAAAGGATCTGAACCACTAAATATCTCTATTGTTGTCTCTTCACCCTGATCTTTCAGATTAGAAACAGAAAAAGTCACTATCCAATATACAACCAGTTGGTGGCAGTGGATTGAAGTCACATTAAGAGCCTAACACAAAGCCTGACAGATGACTGCTGGGAATCTGCAATCGAGTCTAGAGTTTTTACTGAATATAAAACTGGTAACACCTGGAACCCAAGCACCAAGTACTGGAGATTGAGAACATTTTCCCAAGGAAAGCATATGACAAAACTGAATTTGTTATGCCTACAGAACTAGAGGCACAGTAACTATCGTAGTTCTGCCACTGAGGGGTTCTGTCTAGGAGCAACTGGCTATAAAACTGCAAGAGTGGTTGTAAGCCATATTACACCAAAGTAAACCAGAAATATGGACACTGAGATCTTTCATACCAGCAACTGGGTGAATAAAGGTAAAACGTCTGTGGAAAGCATGACACGACACTGGGTTTTGAACCTGTTTGGAGATAAAGAAAGCTGTATTTGGACACTTAAAGCTTTAGGCAAAAATCACAGAAGAAGGCAACACAACAACAACATGAAACCAAGGTAAACATCAGCCAGCAATGTACCCTCACAGCAAAGGCAGCCAACAGCCTCTATCACTAGCTCACTTAGTACATTTTGAAGTACAACGTTTTACAAATTAATGAAGAAATATATGTTACCTTTCCTCTTGAGTTAAATCAGCTAATATGTTCATGGCACTGCTGGCCCTGGCATCAGTGCTGCTGACAAACATCATCAAAACCTGCAGCCATCTGTAAGTCAAAAGGCCAAAAAAATCATGTCAGCTTCAGGTTAGTCACTAAAGACCCAAATTACAGTTTAAGTGCACCAACACGATTAATGATTTATGACCAATCTAGATACACTGTGCTCTCTAAACACACTCAGTTATCTAACAGCCATTAGAACAGTATTTCAGCACTAGATTATCTCACAGTATTGCCACATGCTCCTTTACTGAGCTGAAATTCCCTGCCACTCTTCTCTAACTTCATAAGCACAGTAAGAGAACCTACAGTGTCTCCTCTTTTTGTTGACAAGCTCAACTGCCAAGCAGCTCAGTATCTGCAATTTTGCATTCTGAGCACCCTAAATCTTTTAAAGCAATCAGACCCAGGATCTCTTTCAGAAGGCCACAGGAGATGTATCTGGCTCCTGATATTTCAAGCCACAGCAATATTATCTGCCTGTTATTAAGCATCCTCCCAGATACGGCTATTTCTTGAACTTCTCCTCCCAAGGAAAAATGTCTCTGGATTAATCTTGTATTAATATAATGAAGTGTGTGTAACTGTTGGATAATCTTTTCTGCTCATCCATTACTTCGAACTGTGTAGTCCCAGCCAATAAATTAAGATTTCACCTCTGCTTAACTACCATGATAGTTAGATAAAGGCAACAGACTGTTCTTTCTTTCTTCACTCTGAGTCATGGCAACACTAAACAGTCATACCAAGTGAGGATACTCACAGCTTGAAACCATGAACTATTAAGAGACAACAGGGTAAGCTTCTGACTGCAGGTTAGACAAACACAGTGGTTTAAAAAGCTATGCTTCAGAACTGTATGAACATCCTCTAGAATAAGCCCTTCCTACCTAGTTTTGCAGACACCTTCAGATACAAAGTTTGCTAAAGTTTTCCCCACACCCTTAACTTTTACTTTTGCTTAGCTAGGCCTATCCCTCAAGGATAATTGAGAAATCTCAATGTCATTATGTTCATTCAGATGAACATAATGTCCCATATTGCTAGGGGCATGATTTCCCAACATCTGTGAACCCAGGCATTACGGAGATTTGTCTAAGGTATAGCAGTGTTTATTACTTGGTTAGATCCAGGTGCCTGACCAGCAGTCTTCTCCCATTCTCATTCTCTGAGTAAAGATAAATTAGTGCCAATGTCTCCTTTTGGATCTCCGATACCCCTGAGGAAAGCAGTTTTGGCAGCTGTGCGCTCACATCAGGGTGAGTCAATAGAAGACGCTGATTTTCTTCTGAATAAAACCAACAACAACAAAAAAAAAGAAGATCCAAGAGCAATGTCATACACAATGGCATCGCCATTACTCTTATTTTTTTTCCTAGATGCTGATTTAAGAGGTTTAATGTCTTTTTTATTTCATCCACTAATGTGGGGTTTCCCCTTACCTTGCAGCATTAATACTCACTTGAGAATCAGCTGGATGCCATGATTTACAAGTCAATACAGGCATTGGCATTAAGCATTCTGTGTTTTCCTTGTGTGGCAGTTTGCACCACTTTACTACCCACCACCACCCCAGCCCATTTCTTATCTATGTATATACTCCGTAGAAACAAGGGCTGCCTCCCCAGTGACTCCTGACTGTGAATGCCAAAGGAATTTGCCCTCTCTAAAGGCACTTCTATAAAACCCTGCTTTTTTGCTGGTGTAACTGTTTAAAAACAAAATTATACAAGTAATATTATCTTAAAAGCAGTAATAATCACAGGGAATTTATTTTCCACCCCTTCAGTAGTTTCAATATGCTCATAGAAATAGACTGAAAATTTCATCTCATAATGAACACATCTGCCAAAATTGTGGTTGCTGCTAGCAGTGCATGCCAGCACGTGCTATGGACCTGTAAAAACTTAGTTTACAATAAGGTCTAGACCCAAGCACTTTGGGAAAGCGATGCTCATGCCAAACATCAATTTTAGACACAGTAAGTGCCATACTAACAGTACATTAGCAATGATTAATGTTGATTTCATATTTTTACCGTTCCCAGCGCAGACAGCTTGCCAAAGGAGCAGAAGAGAAACAGACAAATCCACTTCAGCAGCGTTTTTGCTCTCTGCACAGAAGCCCCTAAATTAGAAATGGTGGGAAAAAAAAAAAAAAAAGAGCAAAGGACAGATCAAACAATTAGGTCTTCAGCAACGCCTCAGAGATGAGGATCTGACACACAAACACTTAAGCTCATAAGCTCTAAACCCAGCTCCTTGGTTAACTGTTTCTAGGAGTATGTCTTTCCAGAGGACTTCCCCTGAGAGCAGATTTATTATCTACTAGGTCTACTCTACCCTCAACACACAGAGGCCTTATATGAGCATTACACAGCATCATAAAGGTGAGAAATTCAGTTCTGCACCCAAAATATTGATGAACCCTCAAGAAGTCTCTGTGCTGCAGTCCCACTGAAAACCTTAAAGAATAGCCCTCCTGCCCTGTTCAAATAATTGTGCTGTTCTGAACCTTAGTTCATCTTCTTGTTGCCATTGTCTACCTGAACCTGACTCAAATATACATTCAGCAACTTTAGCAACTAAGTGCTTTCAGATTTCTTCTCTTTTAAGCTGTGTTTTTTTAGATCAGACCTGTTCTTACTGTGAGATAGGACAACTGTACAGAAATAGGAGACAGAAGCACAAACTCAATTCTGTTCACTGCATCTAAGAAAGCACTGTTTGTATTAAAAGTCAGATATGAGACAGTCTATTCAGACATTAAAATCTGCTATTACATTATCTTCTGGTCATTTCATCTGCATCTCAAGAGATGATTGTGTTTCTTGAAAACAGTATTTTCATTTCCTCAGGCTCTAACACCCTACTGTTTTCCCCTGGAGAGCTCTTACCCTCTTACAATCTCGTTGTCTCCGAGGATACTGAATCCATTGTTTGTTCTAAATAAAGTTTGCTCAGTACCTGAAAAAGAGATAAACAAGTCAGCTCTGTGATCCATCTGGCTGATAGATCATTGTGAAGGCAGACTCCTGCTCTTCTCTAACACAGTGTTAAAAGAAAAGGTCACTGGATCAAGAGCTCTGGGGAAAGAATGCCATCAAAAGAGGAGAACAACTCCAAGAATGCTACTTGAAGTAGAAGCAGCTTTGAAGCTGAAGAGCAGTCTAATTCATGCCTGGTGCTGTAAAGGACAGTTGACTTCAAGTTAAAGGCTTTTTAGGAAGACTGAAATAGGAGCTGGCTTTGCAAATCAATATGCTTTAGCAGAGAATTACAAATATTTCTAAACAAATGAAACAGCTCTTGAGACACCCAAATCCATGGAATTCTTGACAGCTCAGCTACAACATTGGTCTACTTCTGTAAAATAGACATAAATACCTACTACCCATAAATTTTGAAATATCAAACACTGCTGATTTTATGTCTTCAATATAGGAATATTTTTTCCTGTTCCTTAAAAAACTAATCCACTTGTATTCATCTGCTTGGATCAGAGCTCCCATCATCAACAACCTTTACATCAAATACTTACAATCTTTCACAGTTCCGGCTAAAAGTCTGATCCCTCCTGCATAGTAGAGGACATTCTGGTCAGGTTTATGCAGTTTCTGCAGCAGTTCTTTTATGGACAGAGCAGCAAGCTTTCCAGACTGAACTTCCTTCATTGCTCTCTCTTCATCTCTCATTCTTTTTTCCTCCAAGTTTACCTCATTCATACAATCTTGGAAATCAAAAGACAACAAAGCATGGCAGTTAAGTGTTTTCATATGGTCAGCTTTCAAAGAGAGGATGAAGCTGATCCCTTGATGGAGAGAGAGCTACCTTCTCCGTACACATGTACAGAATGACCCACTGCTCTGATCAGTGAAACAGAGCTTAAAGAAGAAACAATCAGAAACAAAAGCTGAGTGAAGAGACTCCATCAAAAGTTCTGAAAAGCAGAACATTGGTTTTGATTAGGCTCCATCTTGAGCAGAAAACAAGGGATGACAGGGTAACCATTTCTGTTACTTACCTTTAAACAGGCTTTCCTTTTGGGGATCGATTTGTAAGATCTTCTCATAACACTGCCTGGCCTTAACAGAGAAAAGAAATGGGCCACCGTGCTTCAGTGTGGAAAAGAAATCTTATGGAGACACACAAGTAAAAACTTTCATAATTACAAGTGTAAGTGACTATTATTAGAATTATTAGTCTTTGCAAAGCACAGAAAGTTTCTCTCAAGCCTGAAGGCTCAATGTACTTTCATTTGATCAGTTCTTAAGATCACAAATTTCTCTCTCCCTTACCCACATCACTACATCAAAAACAGAACAAAAAATGGTCCAAGGGCCATAAGATTTAGTCAGCTTACCTCACTGTAGTGTTTAAGTGACAGATGAGCCTTCCCCATTAGAAAATAGGCTTTAATACATTTTTCATTGCACTGTGTTAAAAAAGGAATTATTAATTACATGCTTAAAAATTTTAACCTTTTTAATATTTTCACAGCCTTCTGGTTAACAGGTATAGCTGCCCAAAATAACTGTAAGCACAGAACAGGGTATTAACCTACTGGAGGCGTCTGAAGATTATATGCTATAATATTACCTCCAGGTATCAACTTTCCTTCTCAATGCAAGGAACAATGGCTTTGCTTTGGTTAAAGGGGGAAAGTTGCTGATACTAGTACCCTTCCCAGAAACCTGCCCTTCAGGCAATACAAGCAGACCCCCATGCAGTTAGGGAATGCTAAGGCCTATAATTCTATAAATCTATAATTTGATTACTTTTGCCATGAATTAAAAGTTAGGTCATCTTTTCCAGTTCAAATCCCTCTGAAAAATACCAATTTCTTGAAACGATGCTGCCAATATTGTTAATAATCTGTTAACTGTGTTGTAGTCGTAAGCATCGCTCATGAAACACAACTGAATTCACATTCAGCTCTTTGGCATTTTATAGGATAGCTTCACTTTTCCCAGCAGATCTGATCTTTGTGAGCTTTGAGTCCCTTTCCCTATTTAGAAGGGTGCCGATGAGTGTAGTTAATAGCTTATTATTACTTATTAAATGCTCTTAAGAGCTAGAAAAGCTTCTGCATACAGGCAGCACTGAGATATTAACTGCTTTATGCTGCTCAAGTTAGTTTTGGATGCAGGAATTTGTGCAACACTACCACATCCTTTCACTTCTACTAGCAAGTTGACTTCTGTTGTATCATCAGTTACACACAAGCCCACGTTCCAGGAGCATCTGACATAATCATAAAAGGCAGAATCCTGAAGTTACCTTTAATGCCCATTCACAGTCACCAATGGCTTTTTCATACTCATGCACCTTCAGGTAGGCCTGAAATAAAACCAAGGGAGTCCAGGTAGAATAATGAGAGTATTTCAACCAACTTCCACTAACTATTGTACAAACCCACCTAATTTAGACTGCTGGTTTGTCTGGCCACTGACTTAGCAGGAAAAAAACCCTGCTGTTCCTTCACTTATCCTCGGTCTACTTGGAGTTTGTAGTTTAGAATATATTTAATAAACCAAAATACAAAAGCAGTACAGTGGTAGCCCATTCCCACGTGCTGACCTGTGCTCTGTTTGTGTAAAGCTCCTGCTTATTTCTCAGTTTTTCCAGACCTTCAGTGTACCTCTGAATGGCTCTGACATAGTCTCCTTTCCTGAAGGCATCGTTTCCTTTCTCTTTCAGAGCTGCAAACCAACAGACATGCATTCAAAATACCATTTGGGTAATCAGTTCTGTGGAGAAGGTTGGTCTCAGATAACCAAAGCACTATCTCAGCCTGCATGAGAATGACAGTAACAGAGTACTTGGACAGCCTCTTAAACCAGCCCAGGTCTTGCTAAGCAGTCTCTGGCGGCATTACCTAGAAAAACCGTTCGCAATTACCATTTGCTAAGTGTTCATTTCTCTTCCTTTGTTTAGCACGTTCTTTTGCATCCTTTTCCAACATTGCCAGAAAGCCATCTTTGAGCCGGGAGTGTTGGTGGTGTTTCAGTTACCGTTGTTGTCAGGTAGGTTGTTTGGGTTTAATTAAAAAAAGGAAAAAAAGCATCATTAAAATCAATCTGCAGATAAGGGAAATAGGTCATTTCTAAGGTATTTCCAAGTTATTTTCCTACAAAGAAAATACTAAGGGGACATTTCAACAATTGAAGTGGAACACAAATGACAAATATGTAAAGACCATGCTGCTACTGAGGATTTGCATACTTGCCATGAAGTATCTAACCTCTGGAGACAGACTTGTTTCCTTTTAAATTCAGAATACTAACCTTTTAGATGAGACACCAGAATACAATAATGACACTAACAAGCCTTCTACCTATGAACAAGTACAGCCATATTTATAAGATCCTTGAATGTGTTCCCAAATCTGCCTGAATGTTGATTAAAGTCACTGGAAAAATTAGCTTTGACTTTGGCAGGAGTGGAATTCAGTCTTGCATGAAGTAACAGCAATCCTAGCTCCACCTCTGCTAAAACAGACCAAAGAGATGCTAAGTACCAGAGGGAGCACCGTCCTACCTGCATTCACTGCCTCTGCATTTGCCACATCCTAAAAAGAGAGAAACACAGCACATGCATGTACACAGACATTTTAGTACAGCCCACAGCAGCAAAGGAACTTTTGTTCCTTTGTTAAGTTGTTCAAAGCTACAGGATGTCTGAAATATCCAGGGTGATGTATACAGGGAATATGAAAATGACATTTGAATAAAAGACAAGGATTTAATAGTTTTTTATATTACTGGAAAGCTTCCTGTACCTTTCACGAGGCAAATCACTGAAAGCCAAACCCTACTGCAGGAATCAAAGCCTAGTGAAATTAATGAAGGGACTCCTGTGTCTTCAACTGGGTTTGCTCAAGTTCCCGAAGCACAGGTAAAGCTACAAGTTACTGCACCTCCGTGCTTGCATTCAACTCGGATAAATCCCACAGAAGTCTTTGGTGTTGTTAGTGGGCTTAAAACAAAGACAATACAACATCAAGGACCTCCCAAGAACATAACTAGTGAAAAACAAAGTCACCTTCAGAACATGCTTGTAAATACTGTTCGGATTTTTTTCTCCTGGGCAAGGAATATGGATTAGTTATTTTAGAGCCCTAAGCGGCACACAGCTTTGACTTCAAAGGGAATAAAGTCCTTACAGAAGCTCGGGTGTTGATGACTGTTCTGTTGACTGTAGTTTTGCTTTCTTCCTCCTTGTTAGTTTCTTGATCATGGAGCCTTTTCTCTGCCTCAGCAATGGCTTTTGCATTGACAGCCGAGTCTGGGGAGCTCAAGCCTTGCACTAAATTGGCTAAAAAGGGAATTAAAAAAGGAAGAGAGAGATACACACTACTCTAAGTGATCCTGGAGGTACCAGGAGCTCAGTTGTGCATATGATGACATGCGTTTGAGGGCACTGGTGATCAGGATAACCTTTATAGATGGAAACACAACTTCATCTCGCTTCCAAGGGCTACCTACAGCTTCTACACGGCAAAAATTCCCAGGGTTAAGAAGCAGCTCCTGGAATCCACAGACCCTGACACCAGAGCTCCTAAGGACGCTGGGCATAAAACGAACTCGGAACGAGGGGTGGGAATCTGACTCTTTTCCGTCCCTTTTCCACTGTCTTTCCACCCTCTTTTTCTTTCAGCCCTTGGTAACGTACCTGCAGAACACGGCGATGTCCCTCTGCCTCCAGCCCTGCCACCGGCACCGGCCTCATCCCGCCCCGGCCCCGCTTACCGATATCGTCCACACGGCGGAGGAACCGCTGGAAATCCCGCTCCTGCTCCTCGTCGCCCAGCATGGCCGAGCTTTGGGAACCGGGCTTTGGGAACCGGCGCGACCGAGTCCCAAGATGCGCAGCGCCGCGGCCGTTACCGTGGAGACTACGCCCTTGACGTAGCGTCAGCGGTTAGGGCGTGGCCATGCAAATGAAAGGCGGGGTCTCGCTGGCCGCCATTTCGCGGAGGGGCCGCGGGCGCCGCCGGTCCCAGCCTCGGTCAGGGCTCGGTACCGGCCGGCCCCACCACATCTGGGGTTCCCCTCCCTCAAGCGTAACCCGGGGCACGGTGAGGAGCAGGAGCAGCCACGGGCACTGGCGGGGGCTGCCGCGGCCCCGCTGCGCTGCCCGGTCCTCCACAGCATCCCTCGCCCCGCAGCGCGCAGCAAGGGGGCCCTCTGGTGGCCAAACGCCGGCAGTGCCGTGCGAGATCGCTACAAGTGAACGGCGTGGGCGTGAGTCAAGGACTGAGATTGTACCGCATCCTCCGCTGTTCACGGAGAGTTCTTGTAGAAAACGCAGCACTGCAAACATGCAGGACAACAAAAGAGAAATCAGTACCTGAATACAGGACCATTTTGCCCACTGTATGCTACAGACTAGAATAAGGAGGAACTCTGTCAAGAGGAAAGGCTGGCGAACCCCCCATAAACTGTGTAAAAGAGTCAAGAGAGGGAAGTCAAATTCCAACGAAAGAAAAATGAGAGCTATGAAGGATCTGAGACCCTTAATGTGGAACCTGAATTCGAAAGTGCAGTGACAGGCACCTGCTGAAAGAACCCACCACCAAGATTATTTCCTGTACATTCTTCCTATCCCTTTTCCTAAAGCAATGAACATACAGGGCAAATCACAGCAGCTTTGCTGAAATAGCCTTATGGCAAGCCACAGTGTAAACGGCACTCAAGATCAGAGGGCAAAGCTCTGGAGAATAAGCAGAAAGGACAAGCGTCTTCCCTTGGGATGAGTACTTTAGGTTGCACATTTACTTTCTTGTACTTCTGTGAACAATCCTGACACCCAAGTATTCACACAAATCACAGCTCCGATTTCTCCTTCTGTGCCCTAGGAAATCAATGCTTAGGACAGAATTCAATTCGATTCATCCTACATTAATCAAGTTCAAGGACCCTATTCAGGATGGGTTCAGGACACCTTTTAAAGCCAACACTCACATGCACACCCACCCCCTTTCCCATGGCCAGGGGAGAAGCACCTTTTTAAGGGGAAACACATCTGTTCCTGATTTACATTAGACATGAAACTGCATGTATATGTCAGCTATCTCAAGGAAACTGCCTACAGTGGGGCAGACAAACTACACCATCCCACTGCCACTGTTAAGAGCCAGCTTGAACCACGCAGCACGACTGCTTCACTAACGTGACTGTGCAGACAGTTGCATTTCCTGCTTGTCTACAGCCCCAAGCCTCAGAGAGATGCTTAACTCACGCTGTGGGCACGCCACAGTGGGACTGCCCACTGACACGCAAATACAGCCCTGGGAATCCACATCCCTACGCAGGACCTAGCAGAGCATCTAAAGAAGAGTGTAGGCAGGAGCTTTTTTTTTTGTTGTTTTTATTTGAACACAGTATTCTGACAGAATGCAAAGTCAAAATCCTCAGTTAGTATCAGTATTTACACCAGTGAGAATGGGAATAAAGGTGGAACCGATGTTTCACTTGGTAAAAAGATTTTTTGTTTTTTTGTTTTTTTAACAAGATAGAAGGCCCCCAAAAGTAGGGAATGCTCGGTAAGGATGTCAATGGAGGGTCTGAGAACAACTATCAAAACAGCCTAGTGTGAAAATGTGGGGTTTGAAGGCTCCATAGAAAAGTGTGAAAATAGAACTCCACTCTAAAAGCTGAACAACTGGATGCACTATTATCATCTTTACGTATGGTGCAGCATGAAATGTAATCACTCCACAACTAGAAGCTGATCAGTCTGCATTGCCATATAGATATATATGTATGGTATGGATACATATATAAACATATACAGCATAAACGGCGTCAGGTTGGTCCCTCTTCAAAGGTTTAAATAAAAGCAATGAAGCCAAGAAATGGGATACTCCTAAATTAAAACAAATCATTACGGGAAGCATAAAGCCACTCAATCTACAACTACTGGGAGGCGTCATGAGGGCATTAAAAAGGAGTTGGATGGACACTCCCAGTGTTCAGGCAATCACAGGGCTCACTTCTGCCTCGCAATGGTGCTCACTCTATGGATCTCAACACAAACCCACTGCAGTCAGCAGGGTACTTTCTAATGATGTGGGTGTTGGATCAAGCTTTGAGCTGGGTACTTTTTATGCCAGAAATGCCGACCCAGGTGGTAAATTACCACACTTTTCAGCCAACAAGTGCTGACCAAAGCCACTGGACATGCTCCTGGTTGTTAGCATCGTGCAGCATTTGTTTCCTAGCAGCTGCTCAGCTCTCAGAGTTACAGCTTTGGAGGTATAACATATAGATGACAAAAGCAGTGAAAAGCTCTGCAGAAATGAGGATCAAGTTGTTGTGGTCATCAACAGGAATGGAAGTACAAGCTACCTACGCACTAGGCCTTCCCAAGGACTCTCTCCAGCTGCAGACAGACCATGGTAGCTTTTTGTGCTACATTTTATGGATTGATTTCTTAGGAAAAAAATCCAAACTTCCCCATAGTTATACCAACACTGCTGTGATGGGTCATGCAGGGACCAAATTGGACACAAGGCTTTGAAGTGAGGACCCATCCTGCCCCATTATCCTGCTCAGGATGGGTACTGCATGAGTGTCTATGCCTGCATATCCAGTCATCCTCCATTTGCATCCCAGGAGCTAAGGAAAAAAAACGCAAAAAACCCCACACTTAGCAAATGACAAGACCATTGTTTTTTCACAGTTTGAAATTATGTGATGCTACTGTAGAAGACTGCATACTTAGAGGAATACACTTAGAAAAGTGGCTCAATTTACCTGAGCCAAACTGCAGTCTACCCACCCCCATCATCCTTCTGTTCACCACCTTAGCACAACAGAATGGATGCCATAGTCAGCTCAGTGTGATGTTTCATTTAAAGGCTTCTGCTCCTTTTAAGAGTTGTTCTCTTTTTCTTTTTTCCTGAATATTTGCTTTTGAATCTGAACTATCGCTACACCTTCCACATCCAAACTATGTTGAAGCTTTTATTATTTCAATACTATGACAAAAAACACGTTTCACACTAAAATAGTCACGCACCCACAGTGCACAAGCTTGCAGATCTAAAGTAGAATAAAAAACAAAATAAAGAAAAAACCAAACAACTAAAAAAAGAGAGAAAAAAACCAAACCCCCACAGAAGGAACATCTCTATACAATGGGCTGGTCTTCTCCTATATGCCTTCCTTCTGCTCTTTTCACCCCAAAAATCTCAGTGTTGCTCCATGGCTCCCAATGCTAAACATCACTGATAAGCTCCCCTGCCCATAACGATAATACACATACATCAGCCCCCTTTTCCAACTGTTATGCCAAGACACGTGAAATCACTGGGAGTGCTGGCGCTGATTTCCAAGCACTCCCTCTTGATTTCATGGTTTTTGATTTTGCAGAGAATGGATGGATGACTCAATATGCATGATGTGATAGAATAATTCAGTTGGAAGGGACCTACAACGATCATCTAGTCCAACTGCTGATGGAGCTGGCTTTGCAGGAGGGGTCTTGGATGCTGCCAAGCACCCTTATGCAGTAAGTCTTTGCTTTTAAATCTGCTTCCTACAGTCAAAGGAAATGGTATTCACTCACATACTAAGTAGGTATTGATGTAGCCAAACATCTGAGATGAGACCAGACCAGCCCTAACTGTACAAGCTCCCTTCTGCTCCTCAAAGCTCCGGGAGGGTTCCAGGAAGGAAAGGGGAGAATGTCCTAAATAAGCAGAGATGATATTTCTCTTATGCAGTCAGGCCCAGGTCCAGCAAGGGACTTCAACTCTCTAAATTTAAGTATAGAAGGACTCTTACCAGCAACCCTCTCATTCCAAGTTAAGATGTGTTTATACAGATTGCTGGATAAAGACCTTGATTGGTGGCAAATGGTTTGAATACCCCCACCCCCCAAAAAAACCCCAAACCAAATCCCAGCATTACTTTTCTTCTTACTCCAGTAAGAAATAATAATAATAATAATAATAATCATAATAACAACAACAATAATTAAGAAAAGATAAAGGGGAAACAACTACTGTAAACATCCATGTTTTAAAATGTCTCCCTTAGCAAAGCAAGCATGCTGCTAACCTAGTGTCTATAGACTGTATTTTCTTTAAAAAAAAACAACAAAAAAAAGGCAGCTATTTTACACATACATTTAAACACAACAAAAGTTAAAAAAAAATAAAAATTGTCAATTGTAAACACTGGAAAAACCAAAAGTTGGCAAAAATTAACATAAAATTTAAAGAAATGTAGAGTCTGAATACTGCAAATTGAAATATATCCCCCCCCCCCGAAGCTGCAATTTTGGCATTCTTCCTAACAACTGAGAATAACCCCCAAAGAAATGCCTACCGTGGAGAACAGAATTCAGTCACAAAGAGCTCGAGACACTTTGCTTACTGAACAGATACAAGGTGAACGGAAATCATAACTTATTTATGAGGCTTTACATATTTCAAACTCGACTGAAAAGTATAAAAATAAATTGTGGACTTTGTTCATTAAGCGCCCGCTGCGCTGAGGGGCGCAGTGGTTTATATCTGCTATACTAACGAAGGAAAGAACAGGGTCTTTATTTTTTTTTTGTCTTTTTTTATCTCTTTTTTTTCTTTTTTTCTTTTTTTTTTTTTTTGTCTAGGACTAGTTCTTTTTGAGCTTCCCAACCACGCTGCAAACGGGATTTGCCATCTGACTTCTTGGACTATACACAGGGTCAGCGGAGCCCTGATTTGGTTACGGGTTTAACCCTGTTTTTGAAAATGTATTACTTTTTAAAAGCAAGTGCACAACAAATAGAACCTTTCTAGAAATCTTAAGGAAAAACAAACAAACAAAAAAAAAAGAGGAAAAATAAAAAAAAAAAAAGAGAGATTCCCCCCTCCCCCCATTTATGCATTTTCTGTTTTGCTTGTTTTTTTAAAAAAAGGCAACAGACACTAGAGGAATGAGATGCGTGTTGTGTTCTGTGGTTTAAATGCTTGGGTGAAGTCGTTCTGTCATTTGCTTTCATCTGTCGCTGGATCATGCTTTGCTCTCATTTTCGTTTGTTTGTGTGGCTTCATTGGGGACCGTCTTGACTTCTGCTGGAGGTGTCTTGGTTTCCGTTGCTTGCACTTCAGATTTGTCTTCTACTGGGGTTTTCCTGAAGGAGAATCACCAAACAGCGCAGTTTAGAGGCAGAGAAATACAAACTCTCTGTTGCTGAATTAGTGATAAGAATATGTTTTCGGAGCCAAGCAAGTGTATTGCCTTGCTAGACCAAAATGAACATTTTCAGATGCAGACATAAGTAAAACCTAACTCACACTCCCCCCTGCCCAGCTTCATTTAGCTCTAGTGAAATCTTTTCTGATCTCCCATACTAGTAGGATGAGGTCGCAGGATGCAGCAGAGGCGCAAGTTGTGTTGTGATGTGCAAAACCAGAAAGGAGGAAAAGGGAAAACTCGCACAGTTGTAAAGGAATTTGATTTTACCATCACTCATTTATGTCACCGAAATGTCCTATTAGAACAGACTGGCATTTTAGCTGAAACACCTTTTCCCCTACAGAAAGTCAGTCCCAGAATTTCCCAGTATGTTGCAGGAAGGAAAACACAGCAGAACTGAATTTTGACAAGCATATTCACACAAGTGTAAGGGAGGTCAACATCTTCACAGGTCCATCAACCTGTCTTTTGGCACTTTACTGAATAATCAGAGAAGCCTGTTTGTCCAATGCACTCTTCATAGTCATGCAAAGTGCCACTCAAGGCATATGTGGTGGCCTCCCTGCATAAGTGCCAGTTCCAGCCCATTAGCCAACAAAGTTAGTCTGAGATGACTGCAATCTTAATTTATCCTGCTGAGAAGATGAGATGAATCTAGCCTACGGCTGCAATACTGATTTGCACCAAGGGAAGCAGATGAGCAGCACAGGTAGAAGGTGGCTGTATCATCAGAACACAGCCAAGAATTCATTTACAGCACACAGACCAAGCCACGTTAATTCAGTTGAAATGCTTCCTTACTATGGGCAAACCATTTCCTTCCTCCCTTCACCTCAGTACCAGATCACGGTTCCCTATGTGGCTTGCCTTTCTGTAGCACCCAGCATGACACCCAGCTTTAGGTGCAGTGGACTGAAATGAACCTGCTTAGGAGTGGCTCAGCTGCACCCATCAAGGCTGCCTGGTTCCCTCCAACCCTAGTGCATCTGCTGTGCCATCCAGGCTTTCCAGGAAGGGCCAGATGCTCCACAGCTGTGTGGGGCACAAGGCAGGGCTGTGGAACAGTCACACAGCAGGAACGTCTCCTGCCTTAGGGAAGGACGGGAGCACAGCAGGGAGGTAGGGAGACCAGAGCTGCAAGATGGAAAGGCACCTAAATAATACAGTAAAACAGCATGGGTTTTCACTCAGATCTGGAAAAGAGCCTGGTTCTGGGTCTACAGTACCTGCCTGACTGCTTTTCTGTGAGTGCTAACACACATTGCAACCACAGTGTCAAAGGCAATGATCAAGGCCAATGCTTTACTCTGCATTAAATGCTAAACTTCCAGAATGAGGTAGTTTTCTTGGAGATGGAAAAAGTTCTAACCAAAGCTGTGATTTAGGTTACGCCTCCAGTGTGGCTGCTGTAGCATAGCCTAAATTTAGCTGTGTGAGCTATAAATGTAGCTCGAGAACAGCCAGGTTTTTGGCAGCACGCTGACAGTGCAGATCCCAGCATCCTCAATACACTTTCCTTGGCAAAAGCCAAAGATGCCGTGTGACTCTTCTCGCTCTCCAGTTGCAATCTGACTGCCAAGGTGCAGACTCGTCTCAACCATCCAAATGGTTTAAGGCTCCAAAGGACCCCTAGGGTTGTCCTGCCTAGGGGCATACTGATACTCTAAATCGATCAGCAGGAGGAGGTAAAGAGCAGACCCAGCACACTGGATGAGGACTCATCTCTGACACACCATGACACCACACTGCCAAGTCATCCTGACCCAATACGTGCTGTGACTGCTTCCCCTCTCTCAGACAGGATGGCATCACTTCATCCTTTTGCCAGTTTACGGACAAATCCAGAGATACCAAGCTTTTAGAGTTCCACATGCACTAGTTTCTGCCCTGCCTTACACTGAAATAACTTCTGAAGGGCTCCACTGACCTGTCAGGAATTAGAATTTGGGTGGCTGTGCTCACTGAACTGCAGGAACTCGGTGCCCCTGAGGACTGCACTTCCTTTGCACCAAACTGAACTGTTTCTGATCTCTTTCATAAAAGAGTAACCCATAATAGACAAAGCTGCATACAAGTCTGAAGGAGAACACATTTGTGAAAAACTTGAGTTTGTCTTTTCCCTGCTTCCCTGGTACAGCCTATTCCTGCTTTGCTCCTGGACCTTTAAAGCCAAGCCCTGTTCAGAGGTGAGTTAGTTTGCTAAGGAAACAATGAGATTAGTTAAGAGAACACCCAACAAGAACACAGCACAAGCACCAGTGCACAAGAGACACAGCACACAACCAACAGAAGATTAAAGGCAGCCATACTCGGTCTTTGCAGGTGCAGCAGGTACTGAGCTGTCTGCAGTGGAAGAAGCAAGCTCGCGAGCTTGCCCGCTAGTCACACTGGCAGGAGTAGGAGTGCCAAGAGCTGCAAAAACATCCTTTGCAAGATCAATGTCTGGTGTCTTGAAGGTCCCTTCGTCCATTTTAAAGTCCTCATTCTGGGAGGGGTTTGTGGTGCTGCCTGAAGCAGCCTCGCTCTTCAGATTGCTTGGGTTCTTGGTTGTTTCTGTTGGGCTCTTCACTGTACTGGGCTGCACAGCTTCCTTTTCAGGGCTCTTGGTGCTCGAGACCTCCTGCTTGGGCTCTGATGGAGCTGGAGGGCTAGTGAGGTTTGCAGGACTTGGGGCAGCTGGCTTGTTACCAGCTGCCACTTTGGAGGTCTCAGCCACGTTAGCAACAGAGCTGGGGCTGAGCACTGCACCTTGGTTAGACAGGACACTTGAAGACAGATTATTAGTAGCTGGAGCAGCACTCGGGGTATCGCTGAGATCAACAAGGGGGGCCACTTTGGGGGTAGAAGAGGGTGGCGGTGAAGAGACTGAGGTGGCTGCCCCTTTGGCTGGAGTAGCCTGGCCAGGCGACATGGAGTTTGAGTCAGGAATGGCCGTGGCTGGCAGGGCAATACTGGAGGTCAGCGTAGTGGTCTCGCTGGTGGGGCTGTTCTGAGCAGTGGCAAAGGTTTCAGTGATAGTGTCAGAGTTAGTGGTGCCCGTAGTTACAGAAGGCAGCATGTCCTCAACAGTGGCTGCGGTATCAGCAGGGTGCCTGTGAAGAGGGCAGGAGTAGAAGAGAAATAGAGACAATGAAGCCCGTAAACGACAGCAGAGGAAAGGGGAGAGTGTTGAGAGTGTTAAGAGTGAGAAGGCAAGTGAGTGGTGCAGCAGCAGCATGGCACGTGGTTACAACACACACAGAACATGAAGAGCTACTCAGAGAGAAACCTTTCAGTGGTCAACGTGCAAAGGGTAGTAAGGGCTGGCTGGAATGACTGAAGAATAACTAGGAAGAGAAAAAGAGCAAAGAGGACTCGGCCTTCAGGAATGGCTTGGTCACATAGATTTTGGTTCAACTCTTAGCCAAACGTAACCCTGTCAACTTGCAGAGACTCTTCTCTTTTAGCCCAGCTTTCCTCTTGGCCTCTTCCACCTAACCTCACAAGGAAGCTTTCTACCAATTCCCTGAGCTTGTAGCCTGTGCCATGTCATCACATAACATTATCTCAGTGCAGCACCCCTGAATCCAGTCTCTCACCTTGGCCCTGTCCTTTTCTCTGCAACACCTTCATCAAACCATACAGAATAGAATCCTTTTTCTCATACACACATGTAATGCATATATATAACACACATAGGTGCAGCTTTGAGGTGTCGTTTTGTGCCCTTTTGACCAGATTCCAGCCTGTTGTGTTAGCTGCAATAAGGTTTGCTTTAGGACAAAGTCTGAGTGTTAACTATGCTTTAGCATACAAGTACACATACGTGAGGCTGGAAGAACAAATGGTTTATTCCATGAGAAGCCAGTGTGCCCAAGAACACCACCTCATGCTTATTAACACAGAGAAAACCCTCACAGAGGAGATAATCGAGTTAAAACTCTGGTAAGATTAGCCAAGGAAAACAGGACAATATAAATCCCAGCTATTCCTCACTGCTGCACATCTGCATTTCAGCGCTTTCTCCTCTCACCTCACAGAGACTTCCACCAGAGCCATTTCACCAGTGAGCCCCACTGATAACCTAATTGAAACAGGTGAGCAATATGCAGGTGGAAAAGCCTGACCACCTCAGCACTGTGATGATTCTGCTGAAGGGCAAGAACCCAACTTCTGCCATCAATCCCAAACCTGACCCAAATATTTACACTTCCAGAAGTGAATTCCTCTCATTACTACTCTAGCAGCTACGGAGAAGTACTCAGAGGACACTAGAACTGCAACAGTCTAGGCAAGAGCTTAATAGAGGTAGCGTACAATACTTAAACCTTTCCAATCCCGGCTAACATGGCCTCACACACTCGGGCCCAAACCAAGTTCTTCAATACAAACAAAGCTCACAGGTAGCTCTCAGCCCTCTCACATTAAAAAGACTTGCCATGCCTTCCCCCAGCATCCTGAGTGTAGCCACTCTGCTGCTACCAAGTACAAAGAATTGCTTCCAAGCACCAATCCAGCATTTCTAGGGCAGAGCCCAAGCAGAAGCCAGTGCTAACTGGGGACTGGTTTTGCTCTGGATCCTTTGCAGTGAACCTGGCCAGGTGCCTGATCTACACACTGGACAGGACTAGCAGAGACAGGTCTTTCAAGAAACTGTCTACTTCCCTTTCCTTTCCAGTGCTGGAAATAGGAGTCACTGAATCTTGAGGAAAAAGGGGAGGAATTTCCTTGCTGATATGTCACAAGTGGAATGTGGAGTTTTTACCTTTCTTCTCTTCCAGCCCTAAGTCATGGGCATGAGAAATCAGGGATCAGGGCAAAGGGCAGTGTATTGACTCTGTGTTAAGACTGACTAATGCCACATACTCTGGCTCCGTGAGTGGGGTGGTCTCATTGGGCTCTGTGTGTTTTCCCCCATCGTGGTTGGGGGTCCGCTCCTCTTCAGTCCGCACCTCCACAATTGGCTCCTTGGACTCATCTTTCCTGTAATAAAGGAATTGCATAGAGATTGGCTCCCATTCACACTGATCACCAGAAGGAACAATGAAAGTGATGACAGTACTCACGAGAAGGCAGCTTTGCCCTCCTCCATGTCTTTGCCCTTTGCTCCTGGGCCAGATTTGCCACACAAGTTGACAGCAATGCACATCAGCAAGCCACACTTGTTCAGGAAGTAGCAGGTGACATCCACAGCCACCAGGAGCAGCACAAAGATAACAATGAGAATTCCTACGATGGCAGCAGTCCCAAGGCCTGATGTTGGGCTAGTGCTGGCTTTAGAGACCAAAAAGAGAAGAAAAGAAGGCATTGTAGTTAAAAGGTGAGTTGGGGTTAGTTATGGCTCAAATTTGCCTATGCTTAGGTTGCAAGCATGGGAAACTTGCAGAAAGTGCACCCTCTCTCCTAGTAGCCTTGTGTTTTAACCAGTATTCTGTCCTAAAGACATGCAGGATGACCTACCTAAAAAGTCAGGTTCACTTGGACCTAATGGGGCTTTTCCACCTCTCCAGGCTAGGGCCTGGGAAGCAGACTACAGAAATCTCTTCTACTGTAGCATGTATCCAGCTGGAATTCTAAAGGGCTGTTTCTCTCCACCACTTATTCAAGATGAAGCCTGTATTGAGGGTCTAGAGGGACTTTTGCACTGCCAGTCCAGTACAGGGACAAGTGTAAGTGAATCCTAGATTCCATAGCATGACTTGCCCTGGTAGGGAACAGACTACTGGGTGATACCTGTGGAGTCTCAGTGTTGGTTAGCCCCTTATACCACATACCAAAAGGAATAATTAAAACCCTTCCAGGTATGACCCAGCTATCCAGAACTGGAAAAGTGGTAAGCTTTTTACATCTTAAGCAGAGACAGCAGAGCTCATCAGTGAATGCTCATGGGTGTTTTGGCTTAGGCACAGACAACGATCCAAGCAGCCTTCTGAGGAAGCAGATGACACTTACAAGCAGACTGACACTCTGCTGACATTGTCCTGGTGACAGCAGCTGCCCCTTCCACCACACCCAGACTCCACCACATTTCCCCAGCTATAGAATAGAAAAAAAAATACCTTGCCTTTTCCAGCAGACAAAAGGTCAGCAGGTGAGAGGTGGTGAGGGAGGCCTGGGAAATGCATGGGGTTGCCTATAACTACTGTCTTCAGGGGAAGTGCCTTTAGCTTTCTACCTGCTTGTAAAATGCTCAGTACTTCGAAAGAGGGGGAGTGGATAAACACATCAGTTAATCCTGTGAAAGCCTTTGATCACCACAAATCCAACAGGCACAGCCCTGAATGTTGCCAGCTGCAGCTTCCCAGCCTCTTATCATACCCTGAATACAAACTATTTTTGTTACCCTTACTTTAATCAGATGAATTCATCCCAAGCTGCTCATCTGCAGGTAGAGCATTTGGTTGTTAGCTCATACCATTCAGCACCTATTTAGATGTACCAAACTACTCACAACCTGCTTGTTAGTCTCAGCTGTCTCATAATCCACCTTTTACTACAGGACTGTGCACTCAGAAAAGGCCTGTGCATGTGTCAGAGCTGCTTACTGATGTTTTCTGAGACAGCCGAACAAGAGCATGTTTGTCATTGTCCATTGGAGTATTTTGGTTTTGTCTTCTGTTTCAATTAAGACATAATTCCATTCATTTCTACTTCATTTTTTACTGCTGGATGTCACAACCCCCAAATACTTGGAATCCTTTCATTGCAGAAAAACCCAGCAAAGCACCACTTTGCCCTCAGCCTGACCTATGTTGACTTTGACAGGTGGAGAGATCATTTCCAGGCTCACAGAGAGAGCATCATGCCCCCCGCCACACATTTCATTACTTAAAAATAGGAGAACATCCTCAGCATATGGCAAATCACCGTTGTGTCATTCAGTGACTCTGATGTGTATTAAGGAATCCAGACTCCAACAGGAAAGCTTCTTACTGCATTTGACTATATCCAAACATCACTCTGAGGTACCTGACACATCACAAAACCATTATTGTTCAGTATAACATTTGTGCCACTGACTAGACCCCTGTCAGCATCTTGCAACAAGCTGCATAATTAAAGGCATTTATCACCCTCTGATGCATACAGGGAATGAGGAGGTCATGTCACACAATTTTTAGCATTATGGTTACTCTTGTTGTATTTCAGTAACACTACTGTGTAAACACAAAAGACCTAACAAATCTATACCCTAAAACCCTGAAAATGAGGTTGTTTTTTAAAAAATAGAAGAAATCCATATGCTTTTATGTACAACACCTGCACAAAGTTTTCACTTCCAATTTAGATAGAAAAGCAGTTCACAAATCATAACGAACAAGACCTGAATAAACACAGCAAAGACTTGTGTGCAGAGCATAAAATGCATAGCTAGACAAGACTGATGGCAGGGATTTTGTTTGTCCCTATTAGGTTTTTGTTAGAGAGATTAATCCCATTCCAGACAACCGATAGCATTTGAGACACTCTGTACGGACAGTTGAACAACTACATCCACAGTTTCATCCTTGGCAGCCTCAGGCCCACTCACAAAGAGACACACGCATTTTTAAAACAGCATCAGAGCCAAATGGATTTCTCATCACAAAGACAATTCATGAGGGGCACAGGGGGGTTTTGTTGTTGTGGCTGGGTTGGGGTTGGGTTTGTGTGTGTTTTGTTGTGTCGTTTGGGCTTTGTTTTTAAGTGAAAACAAGAGAAAAGAAAAAAGCCAACTGAAATTTGTTTAACGAAATGCAATACACAGAACATGGTAACAAAGATGCATTATACTGCACCAACTTACAGCATGGATTAATCCTGTCTGGCAGTGTCACATGCACAGTTAAGCATGAATATTATTAATGATCTAATAACAATAAATTAGCTGGTCAGGTAACTTGATCAAATATAATATTTTCTGTTAAAATGGCAAGAAAAAGGATCTATGAAGTTGGTAATACTGTAGTGGAAAACCAGAAAACGTCAGACAAGCATCCATTGCAAATTTGTATGCTCATGGGGTGTATTATGCCCCAGATCCACTAAGCGTCATGAGATACTTGACTGTACAGAAGAGGCCAATGAAGTCGCAAAGTTTCAACGACATAAAGAAGAAAGAAAGAAATCTCTTCAGTGCAATTCCCACAAGATATTTATATTCAGACCATCACATCAGGAAAACCTTCTAACGGCCATAAATTTGAATCCACATGCAAAAGCCCACAGAGACATTTGGGCAAGCAGCAGGATCAGCTCTGACACATCTTTCTCTTTTTATGGTCTGTGGGTTTATATTTGTGGATGGGGCTTTCTAAACCTTTTGCACAATACAGTGGTGATCAGCACCAGATGTGCAGAGAAATCAGCAAAAAGCAGTGTCTTAAAAGGCTTTCAATAATGTACCTTCCTTTGATGAAAACTAGCATGCAAACAGCAACAAAAAACTTCCCTTACATCCAATAAAAATGGCAAATTCATTACAAGTAACAAAAAAAAATGTTGAAGAGAAGAAACCTTTCTTTTTCCTCGTTACAAAATACTGACTCTTTCAAATTCAACATTTTTCTATAATGTTCTGTGGTTTGTTTGTTTTTCCTGAACTGACAAGATCCTCTGAAGCAAAGTTAGCTGCTTTCACGCCTTGGTGGGACCCAGGCCTTTTCAAGCAAATATTGCTTTATTTTACTTTATGTTTCTAACAGAGCAAAAGCAGAGTCACTGCAGAAAGAAGCAATGAAACAAAGGAGGACGACGTTGATGGACTTCCCAAGGTCGCTGCAGGTGCCAGACAATGGTTCCCAGGAGGGGAAAATGTGGTTGTTTTAAAACAAATTTGGTGCATGTGGCAAGCGTGGATGTTTCCCCGTGAGATCCAAGGTGACATGTATGACGACAGACATAGGAAAGGAGTAAGGGAAGAAGGGAGAGGGGAGGGAAGAAAGGACGAGGAAGAAAAAGAAATAAAGAGAGAAAGAGAGAAAAATAGATAAAAAAAATTAGGTCATAAATATAGAAAATATAAGAATCAAAGGTTTATTTAATTTTGTAAATTAAAATGGCTAAAGGTTAAAGAAGAGCATTAGCACATTCACACCGACAAAAAGGCCGGTTCGGAAGCTCAGCAATGCCCAAAGCCGCAGAGCAAAGTCCAAGTCAGGGTTTATGGGGTTTGCAAGCAAATGAGATTAGAAATGATGGAACAGAAGGCTTGGCAAGAAACACAAGAAAATGGTTATCTGGTATTTGAAGGGACAACACTGACTTTTATGTAGTCAAAAGATAAAAAAGAAAAAAGCTCTTGTGTAGCAGACAATCTACCTGCCTGTCAAAGTCCTTCCCCAAACCCTGCTGTACCAAGGACTTGACTGGATTCAGGTGACTAAAACCCTGAAGAAGCAAGAAGGTCTGAAGAACACAGGACAGACTTTTAACATTAGCCTTCCAGATGCTTGTAAACTACTCTAATGTAACTATTATTATTATCACTGAAAATAATACCCTTTATCCTTCCAACCACTTAAAGGACACTGCTCAGATAATGGTAACAAATGACTACATCATAAATATACATTTGTCTGCAGGAAATTCCTAACTATTACTGTCAAGCAGAACAACGCCATGTTAGAGGCACTGGCTCTGACTTCTGTATAGCTCATTTTGAAATCAAAATCTAAAAGCTAAATGCCATGAAAATGACAAGTCGATGCTAAAGGAAAGTAATAAACCAAATTTCTTCCCTACTGCAGTTTGGCAGACTTGGACTGGGTATCATAAAAATCTAGCCAGCCCTCTGGGATTATTTTCCCTAACATTATTAGCCTGGGATCAGCTCAGAGAACCAAAGGGTCTGGAAACACCTTGGCAACCCTAATAGAAACCAAAGTCCTCTACAAAATGAAAAGAAACCCCACAACCTAGAGAAGCAGAGTCACAAATCCAACATAGCCAGTAATCACTGCACTGCACAGCGGTCTACGTGCCCCTGAATGCACATTCCTTCTGAGAACCAACTGCATCTGTCGGGTCAATCCTGCAGCATATTTGCAGGAACAATTGCTTTTCAAAATGCTTCCAACATCTGAGTGGCAGCCTCAAACCCTGATTCCTCCTATTCACACCAGACTAAGGCAGGAATCATTTCAGAGAGGCCAAGGAAGTTACACATAACAAGCTCAGCTTCCACCATGAGCCTATTTTTTAGAGGGCTTCTACCCATGTTACTTATGTATTTAGGGCTCAGTGACATCTGGTCTCATTGCTCCTCATACTTGCATGGACTACAGAATGAGCACTGTCTGTTCCAACGGCAACAGCATTCTCAAGTACACCTATGCAAGGCATCCCAGCTTTCCCAGGTAGCTTTGTTGTCCCACTGGGCACGTAACAGGCTAAAAGAATATCAGCAAAGGAAGGCAACAATGGTTGCACACAAGGTACTGTGAAGGAACAAAAAGACTGATCAGTACTTGTAACTTGCCTTGGGGAGATACATCACAGTGCAAAGGAACCACTTTCTGCTGTTTCCAGCCTACCGCATTTGGTCAGCTCTGAACTGACCTTAAGGCACTCTTTGCCAAATTACCCTCACTTTCTCCTGCCACATCAGTCACAGTTGTCCTTCAAATGTGAGGGTAGTAAGTATTAGAGCTGTTGAAAATGAGAATCAGAAAGTAAGTTGCTTAATGAGTTACGGAGGGTCCTTCCACCCAAAACTACAGCCCTGGTCAAACACACATTCCAATCTTTTTTGCCCTATTACCCTCCTCCATACACATTTTTCAAGCCTCAACCAACTAGGTCACTCATTTGTATGCTTAACAACATTATCTGGCTTAATCAAGTGGAGTTTCAGCATGCCAACTGCACAAGGTCTCAGCTGTTTCCTTCAGACAGGAAGGGAGTGAGTGCAATGGGGGCAGACCAAGGACTGAATTCTCAGTGCAAGGGAAGGACTGAAGAGAACTCTCCTTGTGCTGAAGAAAAGCATGAGGCTGAGTTAACAAACTAGAAGATAAAATGAAAACAAATGTGTTTTCAGAGAACTCCTTTCAATATGGACTGTCAGCACCAATATTGGCATGAATATGCTTAAGTCTGGCTGTGCAATGAGGATGTATTTTGACGGACTCATCAGCTTGATAGTTCATCCATCTGCCCTTAATCAGTCAGAACTTTAATTTACAGGTAGTCCGGGAATTTCATCCTTTAGGTTTCGTTTGGTTCGTTTTCCCCCTCCACCCCTCTTCTATTTTTTAAATGTGCGCTGCTACTACCTGTGTAGAAAAGAAATACTATCTGTCCTTACAACAACTTCCAGCAAACTGTTCAATTCCTAGCATCTCAGTCAATAGTGTCTGCTTGTTCTGCACAGCATTTGTGTTTCTACCTCACCTTTTAAGCACGCTAATAAGAACGCTCTGTCTGAAGCACAAGTTTCCAGGGGCATTCCAATGCTATTTGGTTTTTCAGAATGCCCACTCAACATGAAAATGGTGCTGTTTCAAAATTACTATAATTTAATCTCCACTCCATTTAATTAAAAAATCTACAGAGAAAGATCCAACCACTAGCAAACTCCATATGCCTTTCTTTCTCCAAAGGCTGAGTTGGATGGATAAATGAGCAGTCAGCAAGCCCAAAGCAGATCTGAAAGCAAAATCTGCATTGTGAAAAGCATCGCCCCAGAGATTCAAATGGTCTCTTTTGCTTTAGTTCGAAATGGAAATCCCACTTTCTGGTTTCAGAAAGTGGTTTCTACCCACTGCTTTTTTCATCTGGCAATCCTGTTACCTTGATACAAGAAGCCAACATTCCCTGTAAACAGTCAGACAAGGATTTGTCATGTAGCATTCCTAACAGTGCACTGCTAATGCTGTACATACTGTAACATGGACTACAGTACAGGTATGTACATGGCAAAAACTAAGCTCTGGATGGGTAACCAATCGTGATAATGGCTTTAAGCAAGCAAGTTGTCAGGGTTACTCAGGCACATTAAAGGATGCAGCACTGTTGCATTAATTGGAAGCAGAAAACAATGATAAAGCTTATGACTGCTGTACCTGGGATGACAGTAGGCTGAGCAGAAGTTCGGAAAGCATAGTGAGCTGGTTTGGACTTCCCTTGCTGATTTTCAGCTATCACATAAACCTCATACTCCGCATTCCAGTCCAGGGACTTGAGCATGACGTGGTCACTGCCAGATGGAAGTCTGATCTCTGGTTTCCATTCTGAGGAATGCTTCTGCAGAGCAGCAGCAGACAGGCAGGGATGCAAAACACACAGCACAATGTTAGTAGCCAGCTTTGAGAACACTGTAACAGCTAACTAACAAATGGAAAAGCAGGGAGGTTTCTACACAAGCACACACTCCTCCTCAGCTAATTCAGTGTCTTGTGCTGTTAGCTCTAAGTGGAGATATTGAAGCAGCCCCTTTACTGCTCAGAATCCTGTTTTCTGCAGTGTTATCACACCTGAAGAAAATTCATTGGTCTTTCTCTCATATTTGCCGTCTCACTAGACTACTTCCATTTCAGAGAGGAAAAGCTGCAACTTCTGTATGTCTTTGTCCTGCAAATCACTTTGATTTGCTACTGAAGCAGCCATTACTCTATCAAATATGGCAGTTTCAATGACTGAAAGTTATGATCAGATACATGTCTGAAGGTGGGCAATGCTCTACATTATGAAACTCTGGTCCCCAGCTATTTAAATTGTTGCTGGCAATCCCATCTCAGAATTGTATGAAATGAAATAATACTAAGTGCATGTAATTACTGTATGCTTGCACTTCTACAGAAGACAGCACAGAGAAATAACCTTTCACAGTCAAAGTGAAAGGAAAGAAAATGACACAAAGATGTTGCATGTTGCTTCTGTGCGTGTTATGTCTCATATCCTGTACGCTTCCACCATGCCTTCTTAGTATGTGTTCCTGTACTGGCCCACCTACAAGACCTTAGCTTCAGGGTTGTCTCCCTACATAGTGAAACCTGAGTACTGAACAGGCTGAATACAAATCAGGCTTGAGCGTCAGTCATACTTACAGCTTTGTATTTGATCAGATAATGTCTAATTGGGGAGCCACCATCATCCTGCTTGATAACATTCACTTTAATGGAGTTTCCATCTTCTCCCATCTGACCTTCCAGTTTGGGTGCACTGGGTTCCCCTGAAACAATGGTGGATTTATGTTTATTTGTTAAAAAAAACCCCAAACCAACCACACATCAGGGGAAAAGTACTCATGAAAAGCAGAATAATACTTTGTTATACTCAGCTGCAGGGTATTAGCTTCATTCTGACCCAGACACAGAGGACACTCTGGGCTTATGGTACAAATATTTGCAAGTCTTGGTATTTCTTGCATTTGGTAGTTTGTTTTCACAATACAAATTACCATTCCTGTGTGTGCTGAAACAGAGTCAAAGTGAAAAAGACCCTGCCCTACTCCAAGAATATCCAAAAGCAATAACCAGTTCCTCACCATTTTTGTTGTAGAACACTGATGTGAAACATGTGGAAAACATCAAGATGGGGTATGTGGCAAACATGCAAGGACCTCACCACCCTCACAGTAAAGAACTTCTTCCTTGTATCTAACCTGAACTTCCTTTGTCTCAGTTTAAACTCATCACCCCTTGTCCTATCCCTACAGTTACTGAAGAATCCCTCTCCAGCATCCTTGTAGCCCCCTTCAGGTACTGAAAGGCTGCTATGAGGTCTCCACGAAGCCTTCTCTTCTCCAGGATGAACAGCCCCAATTTTCTCAGCCTATCTTTATATGGGAAATGCTCCAGCCCCCTGATCATCCTCATGGCCTCCTCTGGACTTGCTCCAGTAGCTCCATGTCCTCCTTATGTAGAGGACACCAGAACTTCACACAGTGGGGTCTCACAAGAGCAGAGGAGAGGGGCAGGATCACTTTGAATGTTGTTTAGGTTTTACAGCTGCTGGACCAGAGACTTACTGGTGTGCTCACTTAAATGAGTGTGGGTACTGCATCAAGATATCTCACTCAGCTTGCACTGGTGTAACTAAATGCAATAAATACAGGCTGGAGAGAACAGACATCTTCACTCTTCTGTAACCACCATTTTTAAAACAAAAAGCTAACATTTCCCAACTTGCACCCCAACATCAGCAGGAGACTGGAATGTCTGCAGGGCACACATGTTTACAGCCACAGCCTTTCACACCCATGTCTCTACAACTGCTTTTTCTAGCCAGTTCTTTCATAACCTGCACACACAATCCCATTGAGCAGAGTTCCCCAATCCCAACTCTGCCTCTTCCTTCTTGCACCTTTACTGTAACACCTCACTTCACAAAAGCCAAAGCCACAGATTGTCTGATTGATTACATATGTACACCCCCACCGCTCCCCCAGAAATACTGCAGCAAATTGCTCAAGAGACGTGCTTTCTCCTTCCACTTACACATGACCCCAGGGATCACCTATTTCCAAAGTGCGCTGACAGCCAGTGTACAGGCATTATTACATATTTATTTGCATTATACTAAAAGAGAAAGGAAACAATAAGCCTGCAGTTGTATTAAGATCAACTCTGAAAGATAACAGCAGTCATGGGGATTTACAGGAGCTTCTTCCAAAGAAGATTCTGAATTCTACATCTATTCTGTATGGATTTGTATTCAGCTACTAACAGAGAGCACATGCATTTCTGACTGGAAAGAGAAAGGTTAATCTTCCAGTATCTTTCAAAGTTGATCCTTAGAAATAATTTGAAGCCCTTCTCCCACCCCCTCCAAAGAAGGGATTCAAGCACTTTTTTTTGGGTTTTATGAAACATCAATGAGAAATCTGCAAGACCCAGACTGAAAGAGGAATTTAAGATTAATTCATTTTTCTTGTGGACAAACATGCTCTAATATACCAGTTGTTTAAGAAGGTAATTACAGTGCATGAATACACAGAGTTTTTGATGCAAGATACTTATGTTTACGTTTCACAACATAGTAATACTCTTAAAAACATAAAGAGGGAATGCTCCTTTTTATCATGTTAGTTTTGTTTTGCAAATCCTTGCCTCTGCCTGTATCACCATAACAAGACTCCCACGACACAAGCTGTACACTCAAGAACTCTATTCCAGCTTGCGAAAGGTTTCTCAGTGACTGTACTTTGAAAACACATTTGCCAGCTACTGTTTAGACGGAAGTGTGGATTTTTATCTTTACTACCAACTATCTGAAGCTGCGTATTTGAAAATACCAGATTAACCAAGCAATTATATTCTTTTCTTTCCTTAATCCTAAAAGAAAACATCACCACAAAGGTTCCTCGTTTTGACTATTGGCTTGATCTGAGTTGAAAGAGCTATTACTGCAATAACTGTGTTACAACTATTAATCAAAAATTAAATGAAAACAGAACTAGACAGTACAAGATCAACATCTCTTTGGTACTCTTTCCCATCCTCATTTGAGAGATAATTAGTAATAAGAGATCTTGAAGTGATAAGTGAACACGGTACATAGAGAATCTGACCCCTGATCTAACACAGACTAGAAATTTTCAGCAGTGATTAAGCACCAAGAACTAAGACTTGAATGAACACCCTTTGGAAAGATGCTCATTCTTGATAGATTTTAAATGCCAGAGATGCTGCTGCACTTTATACACAGGCATTCCAATGATTAATTCCCCTCTCTGCTGAAAATTTTCTTCACTTCAAATTGTCTAATTTCTAGCTCCCAATTCCTTCCTTCCCCAATAGTTTAAATGCACTTCTGCTCTGAGAAACATACTCTTCAAACAGGAGAATATGGACCACTCCTAACAGCTGAAACCCAACAGGTATGTCAGTGCAAGCCCTGGTGAAGAATGCTTTAGTTTTATCTTCAAAAATATATGGCATTTAATGTATCTTAAGCAGGCAGATGGAATCCAGATACAGGGCTGTAAAATTAAAAATGGGTTAGTGTGTAATTTCAAACAAAGGACGAAGTTTAGTGGGGTAAGTTTAGTCCAGCGGAATCAGCATCCCTATGAGTCAAAATGTCAGTAGCTGAAGAGAAAAGTTTGTCATCAGAAGGTTAGAGAAGAAACTCATGCTCACAGAACATGCATCCTCCCCACAGAATGGGGGCTGAAAAGCAAAGTGCATTACAAAGGTGGGCTACATGCCTTGGGTCTCTCACACTGAGCTGATCATATGTATTGCAGAAATCTGCCTATTTCACCCATAAAACGCAGACTCCTTAAGCAATCCCCCTTGTGATGCTGCTACTTAGCTTGTTCAGAGCAGACAGCTAGAAGCATGCCAGACTTCCTCTGTATAATCATTTACAAACACTTGTCTGCTTAGAATTCTCTTTGTGGCAGGGGGGATGCAGGATCTCATGCTTTCACTCTATGGTGTGACAAAGCTGAGTGATTACGTCTCAGCCAAGCAGCATCTTATTCGGCTCAGCAGCAAGAAAATCAACTAATGCAAGTAGAGACTCCTGAAGGGCAGAAGGCAAGCGACAGTTTTTCACCCCTGTGCTTTACTCCCCTTAAGAAATGGCATGGATTTTGCTCAAAGATGTAAAATTTACAAGTTCACAGGAATGCATGCTGGACCCCAGAAGTGACAGCAGTGCAGATGACAGAGACTTTTTATCACATCTCTTCTTGTGCCTATCAAATGGGTTATTTCTGCCCATCTTTGAAAAGCACCTCACATTGGTTACTAGTCAACTGCAGCACTTTAGACTATGATCTTAAATCCTTGCCCAGCTGGCAATGAAGAAAGATCCTTGCTGTGCTTAACAGAATACAATTGCACTCTATGGTAATTTCTGCAACACATCAAACAAGGAAGCAGCTGATTTCTGCAACAGGACTAGAGTGTGAGCTACAGTGTCACAATTTGAAACTGAAAAGTATCAGCCATACCTATTCAAAATCTCCATGAGTGGTAAATATACATGGGTGAAAAAGAAGGGTGTCTACAGAATGCACACAAGAGAAGCAAACAATCAAAAATAAGGAACAAAACCAGATCATGCAAAAATGAGACAACCAAGTCTTCAATCCTCCAGGATTTTGACTACAGAGGGAAAAGACCAGGGGAAGAGAGGCTGCTTCCATGCATGCAGTCATGTGGGAAGGTTACTGGTGTTAGTTTTGTTTTCCTGGCAAAACCCAGCCTAAATTCTTTCCTGGTGGTGGTCCAAAACAATAAGGTGACTTCAGAATTCACAGATAGAAAAAAGCCAATTGCTTCCTAGTTTTCAAAATTATTTTACTTGGGGAAGCAGAAAAGTGGGAGTTTCCCCTCCCTTCCCTCTTCTAGATTATGCAGAGAGTATTAAGTGAAGTTGTAAAAATCACAACGTTGCAGAAATTGTTGTCATTACCATACACTTGGAGACTGATTTCATCTCCTGTAAGGGTCAGTCATTTGCTTCTTGACTTCGTGGAGCTCACCAGCTACTCTACCTGTTGCTGGTAAATGAGTTCAGACTAAATCCTCTGCTGGGCTCTGGGATGCCATGTAGGAGGCACAGCAAGAAAGTGCAATAGTATTTCTGATGCAAATTGTGCAAAGTCTAGCTGTCATCACATACTCTGTGTGTCTATATATACTACTTTATAAAAACATAGTTCCCACTCTACCTATGTTTAAGATTTACTCATAAAAAAATTATTTCTTAAATCTTAATGTGACATGTTTACCAATAACCGTATTTCAGAGATAAGGCATTTTGGATCCTTCTGATAGGCTACTATAGTGCACTTTTGTGCTTGTAAATCTAAACATACTCTATTAGGGTCAAAATGTTGCTAAAGCAACAGGAGACATGGAGTTCACATTATATGAACTTCTTATCCACAGCCTTTGGCACACTGGTGTCCTGAAAGGCAAAAGGATTTGTGCCACTTGGTGTTAATGCCAGAGAGTTTTAGAACATTACTAGCATGCCAACTATTGGATTCTGATAGCGAAAGAAGCAAATGACTGAGCCATGTGATTTTTGCCTTGGCTTTGGGTTTGTTGATTCTTTTTCCCCCTGAGTTTTTCCAATCTCAGTGTGGAAGACTGAAGTTGAGTGCTTCACATGCAGACAGTGGTGACCAACTTCACCAAAAGGCTTGTAGGAGGATTCTGGAGTGGTGGAATTTGGAGATCCCCGGTCACTGACCAGAGGGGAATCCTCACC